AGCTGGCAGCATGCACCCTCCATAGCGAACCGGCAGAAACTTCTATAAAAGGGAAAAGACTGCTTTATTTTTAAACGAGGATTTGGTGACTCGCGGCTCGGATGACTAAATAAACAAGGATGCCATGACACAGGGCTGGGGACCCCGGGAGGAGCAGGCCAGGATGCTAAATTCCTGCCTGAAACGTGTCCAGGGTGAAATGCAAGGGGGTCAGGGGGGAGGGCGTGACATCCTGCAGGCAGTTGGAACTGTAATTCTGAACAACTCAGGGAGACCGGGGTGGAGACCCAAGTTTGGAAAATGGGACCACGAGAGTGGATGAGCTCAACAGAGACCCGGATGACACAAATAAAAATGGTCAAGGATTGCGCCTCAGAACACGGTGACTTTGCCCTAGCCGGTGTGGCTCAGTGGACAGAGCGTCCGAGGACAGTGGGCTCCATCCCCATTGTGGGGCGTGCAGGAGGCAGCTGATCAAGGATTCTCATCATTGATGTTTTTATTTCTCTCTCCTTCTCCCTTCCTCTCTGAAATCAATAAACATGTATTTTTAAAAAATATGTTTTATTGATTTGGCTCTATCCACTGAGCCACACCGGTTAGGGCTTCCTTTTTTATTTTTAAAATCTCGAATCCATTGGATGTTTAATGTCAGTGAAATGTGAGGTCAGGAGGTGACTGTTCTTTTCTTCTTTCCCGGTTATCAGTAAAGCCTTCATCTTCCCGGATGCTCTTCTTACCCCACTCCCCGCTGTCTGACAGCCACCTCTGTGGTTAGTCACCTTTTCTCTCTCTGTTCCCATCATCCTCGTTAGCGACCTCATTCTCTCTCACCTGGATTCCTGACATAGCTGCCTAATACTTCTCTCTGGAATCTTGTCTTCCAAGCTATTGTCCTAGTTACTGTTCTAAAGTCTCAGATCTGACCAAGCCACTCCTTTTTATTAATGTATTATTTAATTAAAACATTTTAAATTATAGCTGAAACTGGTTTGGCTCAGTGGTAGCGTGTCGGTCTGTGGACTGAAAGGTCCCGGGTTCGATTCCGGTCAAGGGCATGTACGTTGGTTGCGGGCACTTCCCCGGTGGGGGGTGTGCAGGAGGCAGCTGGTCGATGTTTCTCTCTCATCGACGTTTCTAGCTCTCTATCTCTCTCCCTTCCTCTCTGTAAGTAATCAATAAAATATATATTTTTTAAAATTTAAAATTATAGTTGGCCAAGTCATTCTTTTTTTTTTTTTAAATATATTTTATTGATTTTTTTTTTTTTTTTTTTTGCAGAGAGGAAGGGAGAGGGATAGAGAGAAATATCGATGAGAGAGAAACATCCATCAGTTGCCTTCTGCACACCTGCTGGGGATGTGCCTGCAACCCAGGTCCATGCCCTTGACCAGAATCGAACCTGGGACCCTTCAGTCCACAGGCCGACGCTCTATCCACTGAGCCAAACCATTTAGGGCCATTTTTTTATTTTTATTTTTATTTATTGACTGATTTTAGAGAGAGCGAGAGGAAGGGAGAGAGAAACATGGATTTGTCATCCCATTTATTTATGCATTCGTTGGTTGATTCTTACATGTGCCTTGACTGGGGGTTGATTCTTACATGTGCCTTGACCGCAACCTTGGTGGTAATGGGACCATGCTCTAACCAACTGAGCTATCTGGCCAAGGCACGGCCAAGCCATTCTCCTATTTGAAAATGCTCATGGCTCGCATTGCCTGCAGACGAAATACCAGGCTCCAGACAGCTCTGTCTCCAGCACGATGCTCTGTCATTCCCTAAATATGCCATTGGTTTCCGTGCCTTCGGGCCCTTTGCTTCTGCTGTTTTTTATCTTAAACATCTCCCTTTCCCGTTGCTTACCTCCAAATATCTTAAACAGAGCCAGTTCAGCTATCATCTTCTATGGTAAGCCAGTTGGGTAAGCATCTCTGTCCCAAGAGGGTGATCTTTTTAAAGGTGAAGGCAGACATTCAGCACTGTGGACTGAAGGGTCCCGGGTTCGATTCCACTTACAAGCTCAGTACTTTTTTTTTTAATTTTTATTTTTTGATTAAATTATTATTTGTGTACATATTTTAACATTGTCTCCCCCCCCCTCATACATACCCTCCCTCCCCAGAGTTTTGTGTCCATTGGTTGTACTTATATGCATGTATACAAGTTGATCTCTTATCTCCCCCACCTCTCCCTACCCTCCCCGCTGTCATTTGACAGTCTGCTTGTTGCTTTACTGTCTTTATATCTATCTTTTGGTTCATCAATTTATAATGTTCTTTAATATCCATAAATGAGTGAGGTCATGTGGTATTTCTCTTTCATTGACTGGCTTATTTCACTCAGCATGATGTTCTCCAATTCCATCCAGGTTGCTGCAAATGATGAGAATTCCTTCTTCTTTATGGCAGCATAGTATTCCATTGTGTAGATGTGCCATAGTTTTCTGATCCAGTCATCTGCTGACAGGCACCTAGGCTGTTTCCAGATTCTAGCTATTGTAGATTGTGCTGCTATGAACATAGGGGTGCATATATCCTTTCTGATTGGTGTTTCTAGTATCTTGGGATATATTCCTAGAAGTGGGATTACTGGGTCAAATGGGACAAGCTCAGTACTTTTGGAGAGATTATTTTACTGTTAGGAGTGCATGGTTTCTGTGTCAGGAAGATAAGAACAATATTACTACTTAGGCTTTTTGAAAGTGTAAGTGAGATAATTAATTCATGCAAAGTATTTAGCTTAATATCCGCCATGTGGGGTTAGAGGTTGTGTTTTTAATGTTACTTCTATTGAAAATGAGCCAATGAGGAGGTTGAAAGGTTGAAAGTTTCTGTCCCTTGTTTTGAGAGGAAGGACTAAGAACTCTTCCCTCTGTTTTCTTCAACTCTTGTGAGAAATAAAAGTTTTTAAATATATATATATTTTATTAAATTTTTTTTTACAGAGAGGAAGGGAGAGGGATAGAGTTAGAAACATCAATGAGAAAGAAACATCGATCAGCTGCCTTCTGGCCACCTCCCACTGGGGATGTGCCCTCAACCAAGGTACATGCCCTTGACTGGAATCGAACCCGAGACCTTTCCATACGCAGGCCAACGCTCTATCCACTGAGCCACACCGGCCAGGGCTGATAATAATCTAGTAATCCCAGAGGAGAGGAAAGCCCACTCAGCTTTGGTAACTGGCTCTGGTTCGGGGCAGAAACACTCCCTGTGCTATTGCTTCATCGTCTTCCCTGTGTGCTCACCTTATACTGAGAAGAAAAGTCATTTTTCTTCACACTGTTCCGTGGCACAGACAGAGCTGCTGCTGGCTCATGCTGGAGCTGTTCTGGGATGTGCCTGCTAATGAGAGCACAGGGCAGATGCCCCTGAGGGCTGCGTTGCCAGGAGCTGTGTCCTGTGTTCTTTCAGCAGTAAAATGTTAGAGGGATGGCTGCATGACGTGTGTCCTGAGACTACGCCTGTTTTCCCTAGCAACAGCCTACACTGTTTTCCCCGTCGTCCTCTGTGTGTGTGTTTTTTTTTTAATATATACTTTATTGATTTTTTTAATATATATTTTTTATTGATTTTTTGCAGATAGGAAGGGAGAGAGATGGAGAGCTAGAAACGTCGATGAGAGAGAAACATCGACCAGCTGCCTCCTGCACACCACCTACTGGGGATGTGCCCGAAACCAAGGTACATGCCCTTGACCGGAATCGAACCTGGGACCTTTCAGTCCGCAGACCGATGCTCTATCACTGAGCCAAACCGGTTTCGGCTATTTTATTGATCTTTTACAGAGAGGAAGGGAGAGAGTTAGAAACACCGATGAGAGAGAAACATCCATCAGCTGCCTCCTGCACACCTCCCACCGGGGATGTGCCTGAAACCAAGGTGCATGCTCTTGACCGGAATCGAACCTGGGACCCTTCATTCCACAGGCTGATGCTCTATCCACTGAGCCACACCAGTCAGGGCTGTCCTCTGGTCTTTAGGCTCTTCCTGAAGTGGAGTTTAGATTTTGTAACTGTTACAAATTTCTATCAAATTTAGTTACTCGCACATCTCTTTTGGAAAACGCATTTGTTTCCTGGTGTCCCCCTCCTCCCTCCACCCCTCATCCCTGACATTTAAATTCTACCTGAAATAGCCCTAACCGGTGTAGCTCAGTGGATAGAGCTTTGGCCTGCGGACTCAAGGGTCCCGGGTTCGATTCCAGTCAGGGGCACGTTCCTTGGTTGTGGGCACGTCCCCAGTGGGGGTGGGGGTATGCAGGAGGCAGTTGATCCAATATTTCTTTCTCATCGATGTTTCTACCTCTCTATCCCTCTCTCTTCCTCTCTGTAAAAAAATCAATAAAATGTATTTAAATCAAATCAAATCAAATCAAATCAGGAACTTCAGCAATAAAACAGTTGAGTCAGAGGCTTCAGTTACCACTGCTTTTTTGTCGGAGTCCTCAAGGAGAAACCTAAGGACTGAGGGAACGGAGCCCAGGTCCATGGGACAGTCAGGCCTGGCGGCCAGCTGGCTCCGCGGCCACGAGAGGAAAGTAGGGTAGAGAAGGAGGTGGCATTCATGCTCGAGAAGTTTTCCAAGTTCCCTGCCTCAGATCTGCCTGGGCCAGGACACAGTGTGTGAAACTAGATCTATTAAAAAATTTTTTTTTAAAAAAAAATTGATTTCAGATAGGGAGAGGGAGAGAGAGACAAACATCAATGATAAGAGAGAATCATTGATCGGATGCCTCCTGCACCCCCCTCCCCTCCCACTGGGATCCAGCCCGCCACCCAGGCATGTGCCCTGACCGGGAATTGAACCGTGACCTCCTGGTTCATAGGTGGATGCTCAACCACTGAGCCACACCGGCCGGGCTGGAATTGGATGGTAAAGGAGTTTCCTTATATTCATCGTAATCCTCTCCCAAGGAGAACAGAAATTGAACTTGAATCTTCTGAGGAACACTCCCGTCCTCCCTGCCTTGTCTCAAGCCCTCTCTCCTTCCTGCAGGTGGATGGAAGCGTGCCTCGGGGAGGACCTGCCTCCCACCACCGAGCTGGAGGAGGGCCTTCGGAACGGGGTCTACCTCGCCAAACTGGGCAACTTCTTCTCTCCCAAAGTGGTGTCCCTGAAGAAGATCTACGACCGGGAGCAAACCAGATACAAGGTGAGTCCTCCCCGGCGTGGTGCTAGCATGACCGTGAACTTGAGAGAGAGCGGTCGGCATGTTCTCTCCTGTGTGCGAGTTACTGAGAAATGCGTTCACGTGTGTTTGTTCCCACAAAAGTGGGGGAAATAGTGCAAAGTCAAGATATAGCAGTAGAGGAACTTCAGCTGTTTGTATTTCTTTCTTTTTAAAAAAAAAAATGTATTTTATTGATTTTTTTACAGAAAGGAAGGGAGAGGGTTAGAGTGTTAGAAACATCGATCAGCTGCCTTCTGCACACTCCCCACTGCGGATCGAGTCTGCCACCCGGGCCTGTGCCCTGACCGGGAATCAAACAGTGACCTCCTGGTTCATAGATTGAGGCTCAACCAATGAGCCACGCCGACCGGCCTTCTCCAGATAGTTTTTATTTTTATTTATTATTATTATTTTTATTTATTTCATTTTATTTTTTAAAAATATATTTTATTGATTTTTTTACAGAGAGGAAGGGAGAGAGAGAGAGAGCTAGAAACGTTGATGAGAGAGAAACATCGACCAGCTGCCTCCTGCACACCCCCCACTGGGGATGTGCCCGCAACCAACGTACCTGACCCGAATCACACCTGGGACTTTTCAGTCCGCAGACCGACACTCTACCACTGAGCCAAACCGGTTTCGGCTATTATTTTTTTTATTTTTTAAATATATATTTTATTGACATTTTACAGAGAGGAAAGGAGAGGGATAGAGAGTTAGAAACATCAGTGAGAGAGAAACATCAATCAGCTGCCTCCTACACACTCCCCACTTGGCATGTGCCCGCAACCAAGGTACATGTTCTGGAACGGAATTGAACCTGGGACTCTTGAGTCCGCAGGCCAATGGTCTATCCATTGAGCCACACCGGTCTTGGCTCCGGATAGTTTTTAAATGAGAGGAATAGAGACGTGGATCTGGCTTTTTGGGATTGGAATGTGAGCATAATGCTATATAGCCAGACCTTGAATTTAAGGGGACCTTGTAAAGTCTCCCAAGGAAACTTGCAAGAGAGATTTTATTTAGCATCATGTCACTATTGCCAACGGTGTCTTTTTTTTTTTAATTAAAAAAAATTATTAAATTGGTTGGGGTGACACTGGTCAACATGAACACACAGGTTTCCGGTGTGTGTTTCTATGTTACCAGCTCTGTATACTGCACTGTGTGCCCACCCCCAAAGCCAGATCCTCTCCTGTCACCTTATATGGGGACCCCCTCTCCCCCCGCCTGATGGTCTTTTATTTGTTCCAGGCGACCGGCCTCCACTTCCGGCACACGGACAACGTGATCCAGTGGTTGAACGCCATGGACGAGATTGGCTTGCCAAAGGTACCTCACGTGACAAGTCATAGTTCTGGCCTCGCTCTGTCTTGGCATAAGGGTTCTTGCTCTACTTATGAAAGTATTCTTTATTTTCAGTGGAATCCTGGGTGACTTTTGTTTTTTTTTAAAGAAGTACTTAAGATCTCTTTCTTCTGTTTCTTTTAGAAAACAGTTTTGTTCTTTTCGTTTTCTATTCCTCATTCCTTGCTTCACCCCCACCTTAGAGAAATTCCCCGCGATATCATTTACTTTTACTATTGTATATACATCAGATGGTAGACTTACATTAAAATTCTCTTACCATGCTGTTCTGCCAGACACCACATGAGTTTATTATTATTATTATTATTATTATTTTAAATTTTATTTTAAAAATATATTTTATTGATTTTTTGAACCCCATTGGGGATTGAGCAGGAAATCTTGGCATGTGCCCTGACCAGGAATCGAACCGTGACCTCCTGGTTTATAGGTAGACACTCAACTACTGAGCCATGCTGGCTGGGCCATCCTTGACTGTTTTTCTCAGGAGTTTCTTTACTGCTGCTCTTAGTGAAATTGCCATTTCTAGCTACCCAGTCCATAAAGGGTATTCTATATGATCATTTTTATTTATTTCTATATTCTATACGATCATTATTTATTTATTTATTTATTTATTTTAATTGATTTTTGTACAGAAAGGAAGGGAGAGGGATAGAGAATTAGAAACATCGATGAGAGAGAAACATCGATCAGCTGCCTCCTGCACACCCCCTACTGGGGATGTGCCTGCCACCAATGTACATGCCCTTGACCGGAATCGAACCCAGGACCTTTCAGTCCGCAGGCTGACGCTCTATCCACTGAGCCAAACTGGTCTTTCTTATAGGCATGGGCATCTTTTCCCACTCCCCCACCCCATACCTTTGACCTAAGAGTTCTAGGAAGTTGTCCCTCCACCATAATCAGACAAGCCAAAAAGATGTATATGTAAGGATTTTTCAGTCTTGCTTATGGTAGAAGAAATGGATAGCAAACCACCTGTTCCTTCACTAGGGGATTAATTGTGATGCAGACAGTCGATCCCAGCGCAGCCATAAAAAAGGATGACGTTCCTCTATATTGACAAAGGAAGCTGTCTGAGATGTACTAAGTGGAAAAATAACGTAACAGACTAAGGTTAGAAGAGTCTGCGTCCTGGCAAAGATGAGATCACTATTTTTGTGTAAAAATAAAGTGGATGTTCTTGGGGAAAATCTGTTAGGAAATACAATTTTCATTTCTGTGTGATGGGATTAGGGTTTTTTTTTTTTATTTTTTAACTTATTTTTAATATATTTTATTGATTTTTTACAGGGAGGAAGGGAGAGGAGAAAGATTGAGAGCTAGAAACATCGATGAGAGAGAGACATCGACCAGCTGCCTCCTGCACACCCCACACCAGGAATGTGCCCGAAACCAAGGCACATGCCCTTGACTGGAATCGAACCCGGGACCTTTCAGTCTGCAGGCCGACTCTCTATCCACTGAGTCAAACCGGTTTCGGCAGGGGTTGGTTTTAAAAAATATATATATTTTTATTGATGAGAGACAATCATTGATTGGCTGCCTCCTGCGTGTCCCCTACTGGGGACTGAGCCCGCAACCCAGGCATGTGCTGAACCGTGACCTCCTGGCTCGTAGGTCGATGCTCAACCACTGAGCCACACTGGCTGGGCTGCTTTTTCTTTTTCTTCATACTGTTCTATAGGCTAAATTTTTGTAAACAACAACAAAAAGGGAGGGGGGGAAAAAGGGAGATGTGGAGTGATAGGAAGTGCCTAGAGCCGATTGTAAATGTATATAGCACAGCGCTGACCTCACTGTTGCCTGTCTGCCTGTTGAACTGAGTTCAATCCAGAGCCGAGTCTTGGCAGCAGACACGTTTTGGGCCTCTTTTTTCCAGAGCAGAGGGCTGAGGCTGTCTCCCCTGCACTTGTGTGTGTGTGTGAGAATTAGGCCCCACAATGTCAGGAAACGCTGTACGTCAAGTTCTGACAGCTCCTTGGCCTTGCTGTGCACCTGTCACTTCCTGTTCCTGTTTTTGTGTGCTGTGCCTATTGGGCAATGATGACTTAACCTCTTTGGAGCGGTACTGAGAGCCTCGTTGCTGTTTGCCGTTGCTAGCAGTCGTATTGCTATAATAAAACGCTATTTTGTTGTTGTCTTTTTGGTTAATCTTCTCTCAAGGATATTCCTCCACTGATTTTTTTTTTTTTAATTTAAAATATATTTTATTGATTTTTTTACAGAGAGCAAAGGAGAGGGATAGAGAGTTAGAATCATCGATGAGAGAGAATTATCGATCAGCTGTCTCCTGCACGCCCCCTACTGGGGATGTGCCCGCCACCAAGGCACATGCCTTTGACTGGAATCGAACCTGGGACCCTTGAGTCCGCAGGCTGGCGCTTTATCCACTAAGCCACACCGGTTTCGGCTCCTCCATTGATTTTTAGGGAGAGTGGAAGAGAGAGGGAAAGACAGAGAAAAATACCGATTTGAGAAAAACACATCTATTGGTTGCCTCCTGCACAAGCCCGGACCAGGGCCCAGGCCTCGGAGGAGCCTGCACGCTAAGTACTTGCCCTTGACTGGAATTGAACCCAAGACCCTTTGGTCGGCAGGCTGACATTTTACCCACTGAGCCGTGCTGGCTGGGCTAGACTGCTTTTTTCATGATTGACTTATTTATTTATTTATTTATTTATTTATTTATTTTATTAAATTATTATCTGTGTACATATATGATTGACTTTTTTTATTAAAAATATATTTTATTGATTTTTTAGAGAGGAAGGGAGAGAGATAGAGAGCTAGAAACGTCGATGAGAGAGAAACATCGACCAGCTGCTGCCTCTTGCATACCCCCTACCGGGGATGTGCCCACAACCAACATACATGCCCCTGACCGGAATCGAACCTGGGACCTTTCAGTCCGCAGGCTGACGCTCTATCCACTGAGCCACACGGGTTTGGGCCCTCCTTTATTTGAAGCGCCTCTTTTATCTGCTGACACGGCCTGCCAGCGGCCTCCTCCGCTTCCATCTCCCCACCGGTCTCTGCATCCTGTGTCTTGTCTCCGGTCAGATCTTCCCGGGGCTCTGAGGCTCTGTTTTTCCTCCTTGGCTCCAGAGTGAGGACTTCTCTGTGGCCTGCGTATCAGGTTCAGACTTGCCCGTCTCTCCAGGGCCTCCTAATCTGATCCCGTCCTACCTGCCCAGCCTTCGTTTCCTGTTTCTGAAATGGATTCTCTGCCGTTCTCACGGAGGTTGGCTCAATGTGACCGGGGATTTCACCGTTCAGAGGAGGGCATATCTCAGTCTTGGGGAGAGAGCATGTGGAGCTGGGAAAATTATCAAAAAGGATGATTCTGGCCCTAACTGGTGTGGCTCAGTGGATAGAGCGTCGGCCTGCGGACTGAAGGATCCCAGGTTCGATTCCGGTCAAGGGCATGTACCTTGGATGCAGGCACATCCCTGGTGGGGGATGTGCAAGAGGCAGCTGATGGATGTTTCTCTCTCATTGATGTTTCTGACTCTCCTTCTCCCTTTCTCTCTGTAAAAAATCAATAATATATATATATATATATATATATATATATATATATATATAACCATCCTTTAAAAAAAAAAAAAAAATATATATATATATATATATATATATATATATTTTTTTAAAGGATGGTTCTGATACATCCCATTTCTTCGGGTGGGGGCAGGGGCAGTTCTTTCCAGTGGAGAGGCATGATGATTGTGGGACGAGCATCGAAACAAAGAATTGGCCCTAGCCGATTTGGCTCAGTGGATAGAGCATCGGCCTGTGGACTGGAGGGTCCCAGGTTTGATTCTGGTCAAGGGCACGTGCCTGGGTTGCGGGCTCCATCCCCATTGGGGGACATGCAGGAGGCAGCTGATCAATGAATCTCTCCCATCTTTGATATTTCTCTCTCTCTCTCTCTTCCTCTCTTAAATGAACAAAAATATATTTTAAAAACAATAACAGAAAAACCCAAAGAATGGGACACAATGTATTTGTATCTATTACACTTTGTATCTATTACAAAGTGCTGTAATAGACACCTAGTACTGTAGCATCTCCCACTGCCTTGTCAGAATTCTCCTAATCACCTTATAACTCAGTCTTTCATTTCTCCAATCCACTGTTATTCCTTCCCTCCCCTAAATTACAGGTTGAGTCTTGTGTGGTGCCTCGTTGTCATGAGAATAGGTTTCGAACTTCCAGGCTATTCACACTCTAAAGCTGCTCTGTTCCTATTCCACCTCCTTCACAAATGCATCAAGGATAGAACCCCTGCCCTGGCCGCCTTGGTTCAGTGGATAGAGCGTCGGCCTGCGGACTGAAGGGTCCCGGGTTCGATTCCCGTCAAGGGCACATGCCCGGGTTGCAGGCTCGATCCCCAGTGGGGAGGGGCGTGCAGCAGGCAGCCGATCCATGATTCTCTCTCATCATGATGTTTCTATCTCTCTCTCCTTCTCCCTTCTCTGAAATCAATAAAGATATATATATATTGTTTCCATGACCCGGGCGCTGGGCTTGGCATAGAAGACACAGCAGTGAGCAGCCCAGACCAGGTCCCTGCCTTCAGGTGGCTTGTGGGCTGGTGAAGGAATCAAGGAGATAATGGCACAAGTGGTTGATTGATTGATTGATCGTACTAAGTGCTGCCAAAGAAAGCAACCCATCACCCACAGTCCCACACATGGACAACCTCTATTCTAGCTACTTCATCTCGGTATCTTCCCACTTCTCCCAAGCACTTTGGCACAGTGTAATTTTTATTTATTTATTTATTTATTTATTTATTTATTTATTTATTTATTTATTGATCAGGCAGGCTGGCAGGCAGGTGAGCGGTTAGGAACCAGCAGTTCTCAATTGCTTTGCCCATGACTGAGTCTGTAGTGCACAAGTCACTTTCACATACCCAGGGACTTTCAGTAGGTTGACCGCATAAGGCTTTTTCAACTATTGTTTTTCATTCCGTATTATAGCATTTTATTCCTTGCATTACTATTGTTAAGTGTCTTTTCACCCTAACGAAGTTATCTGCTGAATGCTGACCACGTTTGCTGATTGTCCGATGTTTTATTTGTGTTATTGATGATCGGCAAGTGATCCAAAGAAATCCAGCGGATGGATACTTACTCTACTGCTTCTATTTCTCCTCAGATTTTTTACCCAGAAACCACAGATATCTACGACCGGAAGAACATGCCGCGATGTATCTACTGTATCCACGCACTCAGGTAATAACCGGGTTTTCTTGGTAAAATGAACAGTGTACAGAGGACAGATCAGTGGCTCCCAGAGGTGGGGGTTGAGGGATGGGTGAAATGAGTGAAGGTGGTCAAAAGGTACAAACTCCCAGTTATAGAGTAATGGAGACCTGCCGATGTAACGTACAGTGCAGTGGCTATTTATTCTATGTAATGGAAGCCTAAGCAACTGTGAAGGCGGAACAACCAGAACGACCAGTCGCTATGATAGGTGCTGACCACCAGGGGGCAGACGCTCAATGCAGGAGCTGCCCCTTGGTGGTCAGTGCACTACTCAGCCACAAGCCGGCTGAGGGCTGTGACCACAGCGGCAGTGGCCGGAGCCTCTCCTGCCTCTTTGGCAGCACTAAGGATGTCTGACTGCGGCTTAGGCCCACTCCCTGTGGGGAGTCAGACATCACCCAAGGGCTCCAGGGCTGCCAGAGGGATATCTGACTGCCAGCTTAGGCTCGATCCCCAAGGGAGTGGGCCTAAGCTGGCAGGTGGACATTCCCAGAGTGGGTCCCACATTGCATGTGGGCACAGGCCGGGCTGAGGGACCCCCTCCCCCAGAGCATGAGTTTTTGTGCACCAGGCCTCTAGTCTATAATAATAAAAGCGTAACATGCTAATTAGACCGCGTGTCCTTCTGAACGACCTTCTGGACGAAGCCGGGGCTGTGAAGGAAGCCCAGATCCTGGGGGTGCCAGAGGGAAGCCGATGCTGACAGCCGGGGGAAGGAAGGCCTAACTCTTGCACAAATTTTGTGCATTTACACGATGGCTGTGGGACTAAAGGAGAAGAGTGTGTGTGAGAGTCCTTGCTTGTGCTGCTCGTTGTGTAGCATGCTACATGTGTGCTCCATGTTAGTTATATTTCCATGAATGTATGTATAATATTGACACTGTACAATGAAAAGCCTGTTGCCTTCATTGAGATCAAACATGTGCCAGATGTTGATGATCACCAGAACCCCCAAAAGTGTGAAACCCACAAACGAAAGACTATCCCTCAGGACTAGGGAATCTCTTCTGTGGACCAAGGCATTATTAGCCTCCTTTCTCAAAGGTTCCCTCCGTCGGCTCTTTCCTCCTGGTCCATCAGCCACCAGAGCTATCTATACTAATAATAGGGTAATACGTTAATTAGACCAGATAGACCAGATATCTTCCAGACGTCCTTCTGAACATCCTTCCAGACAAAGCCACATTGGTGGGGGCTGAGGTAGAGGCGGTTAGGGGTGATCAGGCAGCCAGGCAGAGCGGTTAGGGGCGATCAGGCCTGCAGGGGAGAGCAGTTAGGAGCAATCAGGCCATTGGGGGAGAGCAGTTAGGAGTGACCAGACCAGCAGGGGAGAGCAGTTAGGAGCATCAGGTGGGTAGGCAGAGGCAGTTAAGGGCAATCAGGCTGTCAGGGGAGTAGTTAGGGGCATCAGGCAGGCAGACAGGTGAGCGGTTAGGAGCCAGCAGTCTGGGGTTATGAGAGGGATGTCCAGGGGTCTCGGATTGGAGAGGGTGCAAGCTGGGCTGGGCTGAGGGACCCCCCCCCCCCCAACACACACACAACAAATTTCATGCACTGGGCCTCTAGGTTTTTTTTTTCAGAACAGCCCTGCTTATATCGCACCCTCCATAAAATATCGGATGGCTCCCTTCCAGTCTCCCCTGCAGCCATTCCCTCCTCTGCAGCTGTGTGTGAGTCTTCTTCCTACCACACTTTTTATGCTGGTTCCTTTGCCAGACTGCCCTCTCTCTCCCCTAACACCTCAGATACATGTTTTGATACATTCTTTTAACTTGTTATCTTTCAGGCAGAATTAGCTACTTCCCTGCTTTGTGCTCCTCTCGAGTTACTTTGTAGGAACCTCTCCCTTCAAGTGTAGTGCTTGTTACATTGTCCGCTGGTTATTTGTTCTCCTGCGTCACTTGTTTTTTTTGTGGACTCGTTGCTGCCAAGAACTATTTCCTTTAATCTTTTCTTATCTCTTTGTCTGTAGCGCTTAGATGCCTCGCATATTGTCCAAACCCTACATGATAACAAATGTCCCTGCCCCTCCTTCAGCTCAGGGGGACTGTCTGCCCTATAAATAAATGTGCAGGGAAGTGGTACTTTCCCTTTATCAGATGGCTTGATGTTTGTCTTGGCTGAGCCAGTCAAGTCTTCGCTCCATTCCCACTGTTGGGTGAAATTTTAGGATTTCTCCAGCTCATGCCTTCGGCTAAACTCCTGTAGTTTGTTTCTTGCTTTTATTAGTTTTGTAGTGTGTGTGTGTGTGTGTGTGTGTGTGTGTGTGTGCGTGTGTGTGTACATATATATATATACACTGATTGATTGATTTCTTACAGGGAGAAAGAGAGAGGGATAGAGAGTTAGAAACATCAATGAGAGAGAAACATCGATCAGCTGCCTCCTGCACAACCCTCACTGGGGATGTGCCTGCAACCAAGGTACATGCCCTTGACCAGAATCGAACCCAGGACCCTTGAGTCTGCGGGCCGACGCTCTATCCACTGAGCCACACCGGTCAGGGCTATGGTTTTTTTGTTTGTTTGTTTTAGTTATATGTTATTTCTTCCATAATTTAAAAAATATATATTTTATTGATTTTTTACAGAGGGGAAGGGAGAAAGAGAGTTAGAAACATCGATCAGCTGCCTCCTGCACACCCCCCACTGGGGACGTGCCTGCAACCAAGATACATGCCCTTGACCGGAATCGAATCTGGGACCCTTCAGTCAGCAGGCCGAGTCTCTATCCCCTGAGCCAAACCGGTTTCGGCTCTTCCATAATTTTAATCTTTTCTCCCTGTTACATTACTAGCATCTTAGGGACAGAAGTCATCTGCCCTACCCCCTCCAGGGCACACGGCATAATGTTGGACAAACAATGGTAACATGAGAATTCTTTGAAATGTTTCGGAATGGGTGATATCTAGGGGAATTTTCATATTGTAGCAATTGGAAGTGTACGCATCGGAGTCAAAACCAGATGCAGCCAAAACCGGTTTGGCTCAGTGGATAGAGCATCGGCCTGCGGACTGTAGGGTCCCGGGTTTGATTCCGGTCAAGGACACATCCCTTGGTTGCGGGCACATCCCTGGTAGGGGGTGTGCAGGAGGCAGCTGATCGATGTTTCTCTCCCATCGATGTTTCTAGCTCTCTATCCCTCTCCTTTCTTCTCTGTAAAAAATTAATAAAATATCTATTAAAAACAGAAGCATTCTTCAGATTAAATTCATGTTCTGAGGGGTTTGTCTGTCGATAACGTGCAGAAAGGAGGCTGTGCCTCCGAAGGGGAGTTGAACTTGGGCAGGCACAGAGGCCGAGCTGGCCAAATCCTCGCTCCCAGCTCTGTGGCCTCTGGTCCCCGTCGTGTGACCCGGGCCCCAGGTCCTCAGATTTTCCGAAATGGAGATGAAGAGTTAACTGTGCCTTTCTAATGACGGAGTCCCGAGTCCGAATGAGAAAGGGCGGAAGTCGGCTATTGTTTGCCATTTCTCTCCAGTAGGCAGGCCGTGCTGAGAAAGTGTAAACAGAGCCGTGTTCTGCTTGGCAGCCTCTGATTTCTTCCCTCCCCGAAGAGTGCTTTTCCTGGAGGGCGGGTTGCAACACTTGATAATATATAGAAAGTGTGTGTGTACCTGCTTGGAGCCTCTTTCCCATAAAACACAGCCTTTTGCTGAAACCAGTGTGGCTCAGTGGATAGAGCGTCGGCCTGCGGTCTGAGAGGTCCCAGCTTTGATTCCGGTCAAGGGCATGTACCTTGGTTGCGGGCACATCCCGGTGGTGGGTGTGCAGGAGGCAGCTGATCGATGATTCTCTCTCATCGATGTTTCTGACTCTCTATCCTCCTTCCTTCCTCTCTGTAAAAAATCAATAAAAATATATTTAAAAAATAATAAAAATATATTTAAAAAATAAAATAAAATCAAGGCAGGCTGCTCACTTCACGCCATGGGACAAGGCACTGCTCCCTCCCTCCTTGGCCTCTAAGTCTGTTTTTAAAAAATATATATTTTATTGATTTTTTACAGAGGAAGGGTAAGGGGTTAGAGAGTTAGAAACATCGATGGGAGAGAAACATGATCAGCTGCCTCCTGCACAATCCCCACAGGGATGTGCCTACAATCAAGGCACATGCCCCTGACCGGAATCGAAACCGGGACCTTTCAGTCCGCAGGCCGACGCTCTATCCACTGAGCCAAACCGGTTTCGGCTAGGTTTTAATTTTTAAATATAAGGGACTGTTCCCAATATATAGGGTAGGGTGCCTAGGCCTGGCCATGATCAGGGCCATCTGTGGGGCAACCTGGGACCTCTCAACTGCCCTCCCTTGCAGCACCGCTCAATGCAGACACTCAATGCAGGGGGTAGGGGGCCTGCATTGAGCGTCTTCCCCTGAGAGGGAGGCGACCGCTGGTGGTGGCAGGGAGCGGGCGGTGCCAGGCCACCAGCCAAGGCGGGTGCCAGCTGGGGGCCCCAGATTGCCTTGCCTGCCGGTTGCCCTTTGCGTTGCATTATGTGAATTTTTAGGACAATGTTGTTATGTAAAACTAAAAAAAGGCTCTGAGATAACAGGTACGGTAACTGCGATGGGTAATATTGTGTCCTGGGAGTCTCTGTTCAGAATGTTTCTGTTCCTTCATATATATTTTATTCAGAGAGGAGGAAGGGAGAGGGCAAGATAGAAAGAAACATCAACGATGAGAAAGAATCATTGATCAGCTGCCTCCTGCACAACCTCTACTGAGGATCGAGCCCACAACCCGGGCATGTGCCTTTGATCGGATTCAAATCAGGAACCCCTCCATCTGCAGGCCGACGCTCTGTCCACTGAGCCACACCGGCCAGGGCAGAATGCTTCCGTTCTTTATGCTGATTTCCCCCTTTCGGAGCAGCAGGGGCAGGTATGGCTGGAAGTGTAACTCTTTGCATATCCGTGTTTTCCAGTCTGTACCTGTTCAAACTCGGCCTGGCCCCTCAGATTCAGGACCTGTACGGAAAGGTGGACTTCACGGGTAAGGTGCTTCAGACCCAGCGGGAAATATTCGGTTTATGTGGAAACAGCCCGGAGAGACAACAAAACCAATCTTCCCGACGGGGGGCCTCAAAAATACTCAGGCAGCAGAGATGAAAGCGGTATAAATGGCGCTCTCCTTGGGGTGGTGAAAGGAACACTAACATTGGGGTTTCAGGCTCTCCCCTCTCAGTTACGACCTGGGTATGACTAGTGAGTCTCGGCTTTCTTATATCTAAGTTGGGGATGATACTAGCCTGCATATATATATATATATATATATTTTAAGGTGATCAGATTTTAAGATTTTTTTAATATATATTTTATTGATATTTTACAGAGAGGAAGAGAGGGATAGAGAGTTAGAAACATCAATGAAAGAGAATCATTGATCAACTGCCTCCTGCACACCCCCCACTGGGAATGTGCCCGCAACCAGGCCACATGCCCTTGACTGGAATCGAACCAGGGACCCTTGAGTCCGCAGGCCAATGCTCTATCTACTGAGCCAAACCGGTTAGGGCTAGATTTAAATCTTTCAAACTGGGGATTCTTTTATAGGCCTGGGAATAATAATAATAAAAAAAAAAAGGCGCCAAAACTTTTATCTGCGCTGTTTTTCCTCCCAGGGAAGTCATTTACCAGACTGGGGGCAGGGACCTGACCTTCTATGTTTTCTTTATCTCTGGGCTTCCTGCTGTGGACACGGAATTGTTTAAAAGTCACTAGTGATGTTGATTGTGAAAATGGAGATACCGCCCGGCTGGGAACTAATTCACTACTCGTGGCGCTTCCTTTGCTGCCGCTCTGCTCATAGGCTCATGGGAAATGCCATCAGTAGCGCTTTGGAAAAGCTGTTTCTGCAGGGCCATTCTCATGCCATAGTTAATATATATATATATATTTAATATATTTTATTGATTTTTTTTTTACAGAGAGGAAGGGAGAGAGAGAGTTAGAAACATCGATGAGAGAGAATCATTGATCAGCTGCTTCTTGCACACCCCCTACTGGGATGTGGCTGCAACCAAGGTACATGCCCTTGACTGGAATCGAACCTGGGACCCTACAGTCCGCAGCCCGATGCTCTATCTACTGAGCCAAACCGGTTTCAGCCATAGTTAATATTTTTAAAAAATATTTTTTATTAAAAAAATATTTGTATATATATTTTTATATTTTACAGAGAGAAAGGGAGAGGCATAGAGAGCTAGAAACACCGCGATGAGAAAAACATCAACCAGTTGCTTCCTGCACAACCCCTACTGGGGATGTGCCTGCAACCAAGGGACATGCCCTTGACCGGAATCAAACCTGGGACCTTTCAGTCCGCAGGCTAACAATCTATCCACTGAGCCAAACCGGTTTCGGCTGTAGTTAATTTTTAATACTCTTGGTAATAGTAATAATAATTTACTCCTACTGAGTGCATGTTCTGTGTACGAGGGAGTGTGTTAAATGCCTTCTGCGTGCTGTCTCTAATCCTTTTTTATTTTTTAAAATATATTTTATTGATCTTTTTTTACAGAGAGGAAGAGAGAGAGAGAGAGAGAGATAGAAACATTAATGAGAGAGAATCATCTATCAGCTGCCTCTTGCACACCTCCTACTGGGGATGTGCCCAAAACCAAGGTACATGCTCTTGACTGGAATCGAACCCGGGACCCTTCAGTCCGCAGGCCGATGCTCTACCCATTGAGCCACACCGGTTTTGGCTCCAATCCTTTTAACAGCCCCGAGGGGGTAGAATCCATCTTACCCAGTTTTTGTCGTTGAAGAATCCCTTTCATTCTCTGAGTTTTGGAAAGACGCGCGTAACCTGTCTGCCTGGCTCTCACGTCTCTCCTGCAGAAGAAGAAATCAACAACATGAAGATCGAGCTGGAGAAGTACGGCATCCAGATGCCCGCCTTCAGCAAGATCGGCGGCATCCTGGCCAACGAGCTCTCCGTGGACGAAGCTGCACGTAAGAGAGGAATGGGGTTCCCATGGGATCACTGCCACCACTTCCGGCGACGGATGCTATAACGACGATCTTGGGCATTAGGACAGGGGTCGGCAAACCGTGGCTCGAGAGCCACATGGGGCTCTTTGGCCCCTTGAGTGTGGCTCTTCCAAAAAAATACCACGGTCTGGGTGAGTCTGTTTTGAAGAAGTGGCGTTAGAAGAAGTTTACGTTTTAAAAATGTGGCCCTCCGAAGAAATTTCAGTCGTCGTATTGTTGATATTTGGCTCTGTTGGCTAATGAGTTTGCCGATCACGGCATTAGGAGTTTTGCTAGCAAGCTTAGGTCAGTAGATCTAGGTGGTGGTTGTTTTTCTGTTATTTTTAAAAATATGTATTTATTGATTTCAGAGAGGAAGGGAGAGGAGAGGGAGATAGAAACATCAATGATAAGAGAGAACCATTGATCAGCTGCCTCCTGCATGTCCCCCACTGGGGATCGAGCCTGCAACCCGGGCATGTGCCCTTGACTAGAATCAAACCTGAGACCCTTCAGTCCGCAGGCCAACACTCTGTCCACTGAGCCACACCGGTGAGGGCGAGTAGATCTAGTTTTCAACACTTCTGTAGTCTTTTATGCTTTTGTTTGGAAATAAGTGATTGATTTTGATTACTATAATTCAAACACTTAGACAGTGAGGTCCCCATTTCAGTGCCTCTTTGAGGTGCTTATTTCATTTTTTAAATAGGATTTACATGATGATGAAGGCTGAGCATTTCCCTAACACCATGGTAGGCAAACTGCGGCTCGCGAGCCACATGCGCCTCTTTGGCCCCTTGAGGATGGCTCTTCCACAAAATACCACGGCCTGGGCGAGTCTGTTTTGAAGACGTGGCGTGAGACGAAGTTTAAGTTTACAAAATGTGGCTCTCCAAAGAAATTTCAGTCCTTGTACTGTTGATATTTGGCTCTGTGGACGAATGAGTTTGCCGACCACTGCCCTAACACATGTTCCTAGCAAGGCTTCCCTGTGGATATTTCCCTGTGCGTTTCCCAATTCAGTGTCCCAAACGTGGCTCAGATCGCTGGCTTTGTGCATCCTGAGGGAGGGGCTGGGCTTATAGGACTAGGGAAGCCATTTCTTCAACCCCAGATGTTTTTTTAATAAAATATATTTTTATTGATTTTTCTTACAGAGAGGAAGGGAGAGAGATAGAGAGGTAGAAACGTCGATGAGAGAGAAACATTGACCAGCTGCCTCTTGCACAGCCCCCGCTGGGGATGTGCCCGAAACCAAGGTACATGCCCTTGACGGGAATCGAACCTGGGACCTTTCAGTCCGCAGGCTGACGCTCTACTGCTGAGCCACACCGGTTTCAGCCCCAGGTGTTATTTCTCTCTGAAAACAAGCCCCCTCTGTAATGCCGTGTTGCAGGGTGGTTTTGTATGTGTCACGTGTATCCTATACTCTGCATCACTCGGCATTCCGTGTCTTTCATTTCTCTTTAGTGCACGCCGCCGTGATCGCAATTAACGAAGCGGTGGACCGCAGGGTTCCGGCTGACACCTTCACAGCGCTGAAAAACCCCAACGCCATGCTGGTCAACCTGGAAGAGTCCTTGGCTCCCACCTACCAGGACGTCCTCTACCAGGCCAAGCACGACAAGATGACTAACGCCAGAAACAGGGTAAAGATGGAACCTCTCTTCTTTCTAACTGACTTATGTTCTTTTCTCGTTTGATTTTTAAAAATTGGTTTTATTTAGGTATAATGTACAGGATAATGAAATTCACTGATTTTTTTTTTAAATATATTTTATTGATTTTGTACAGAGAGGAAGGGAGAGAGAGAGAGAGCTAGAAACATCGATGAGAGAGAGTCATCGATCAGCTGCCTCTTGCACACCCCTTACTGGGGATATGCCCGCTACCAAGGTACATGCCCCTGACCGGAATCGAACCTGGGTCCCTTTGATCCCCAAGCCGACGCTCTATCCATTGAGCCAAACTGGTCTCGGCATTGAGCCAAACCGGTCTTGGCTGAAATTCACTCATTTTAAGCATACGGTTTGATGAGTGTTGACACATATATGTGGGGAACCATCACCCCAAACGTCCCAGGCCCCCACAGTAGAAGTCTGTCCACCACGCCTCACTCCTGACCCCAGTCACCTACCAAACCGGCCAGGGTCCCATTGATTTTTAGGGAGAGTGGAAGGGAGAGGAAGAGACAGAGTGAAACATGGATGTGAGAGAAACACATTGATTGGTTGCCTTCTGCCTGTGCCCCAACCAGGGCCTGGGCCGGGGAGGAGCCTGCAACTGAGGCACGTGCTCTTGGTCAGATTTGAACCGAGGACCCTTGGGTTTGCAGGCTGACGCTCTATCCACTGAGCCACACCGGTTAGGGCTTTACTACGGATTTTAAGGCACCTCCTTTCCTTGCTCATGCTTCTGTTCTGGTGAGGGAGGAGTTCAGTATCTCTCCCTCTTCTCCTCAGAGAGCTGAGCTAATCTAATTACACCTTCATCTCGTTTTTTTCAGACAGAAAATTCGGAGCGAGAGAGGGACGTTTACGAGGAGCTGCTCACTCAAGCTGAAATTCAAGGCAACGTGAACAAAGTCAACAGTAAGTGTGACCCTGGGCCAGGCACCTGAGGGGACAGTGGAGGAATGTGAGTGTTGACCTGCTCTGGACGGATGACTTAATTTATTTACTGTGGGCGCTAGTGGGCTTGGTTAGGAACTGCTGCTTCGGACTGGGTTTTTTTGTTTGTTTGTTTTAAAATACATTTTATTGATTTTTTACAGAGAGGAAGGGAGAGGGATAGAGAGCTAGAAACATTGATGAGAGAGAAACATTGACTGGCTGCCTCCTGCACACCCCCTATCAGGGATGTGCCCACAACCAAGGTACATGCCCCTGACCGGATTCAAACCTGGAACCTTTCAGTCCCCAGGCCGACGCTCTATCCACTGAGCCATACCTGTTTCGGCATGATTGTGTTTTGTATCTGTGTCTTCTGTTAGCTGCCGCTGTCCTCAGGCGGGTCCTCACCCCTCCCACTCTCATGGCTGTGGCTTCTGGACCAGGGGTCCCCAACATGGGGCACCCGCCCCTTAGGGAGGCAGTTTGATGTTTGAGGGGGCAATTCAACAATGAGTTATTTATTTATTTTTTTATATATTTTATTGATTTTATACAGAGAGGAAGGGAGAGAGAGAGAGAGCTAGAAACATCGATGAGAGAGAGTCATCGATCAGCTGCCTCTTGCACACCCCCTACTGGGGATATGCCCGCAACCAAGGTACATGCCCTTGACCGGAATCGAACCCGGGACCCTTCAGTCCCCAAGCCGACGCTCTATCCATTGAGCCAAACCGGTCCCGGCAACAATGAGTTATTAAGCGTGATATTTTTTGCATGTCTTATGGTTCTAGGGGCCTCCTATATAGTTTGTAAATATTTATTGTGACATAGTTATGCATTCCAGTTCTCTGTTACATGTTTTGAAACTTTATTTGCTATTTTTTCATATCACTTCAGATTATTATTTTTAGACAAAGATGTGGTCCATTTCTGTGGGAGACCTTCTCCAGTTTGGTAGTGTGCTGTAGACAGCCCCTTGGCATTTCCGAGGGAACCTGGGCCTGTGTTCGTGCCGATTGGTGCCTCTGGCTTCGCTCCCACGGTGGTGCCAGGCGGTCTGAATCTGGTAGTGTTTTGGCAGGCCTAGGACATGTGCACTCCAGGAAACCCTTACTTCTGATGAGCAACCTGGCAGGAGCCCTGGAGCTTGATGGCTTCAAGGTTCTTTAAGATCCAGTCCCCAGCCGAAACCAGTTTGGCTCAGTGGATAGAGGGTCAGCCTGTAGACTGAAGGGTCCCGGGTTCGATTCCGGTCAAGGGCATGTACCTTGGTTGCGGGCACATCCCCAATAGGGGGTGTGCAGGAGGCAGCTGATCGATGATTCTCTCTCATCGATGTTTCTAACTCTCTATCCCTCTCCCTTCCTCTCTGTAAAAAATCAATAAAATATATATTAAGACAAACAAACAGAAGAACTATCCCGGGCTGTTGATGTGAACACAGCATTTTCTGCCTTCTTCCCCCGCAGCGTTCTCCGCGTTGGCCAACGTGGACCTGGCTCTGGACCAGGGAGGCGCCCTGGCCCTGTTCCGGATCCTGCAGTCGCCGGCGCTGGGCCTCCGCGGGCTGCAGCAGCAGAACAGCGAGTGGTACCTGAAGCAGCTGCTGAGTGACAGGCAGCAGAAGAGACAGGTGAGAGGACCCGGGTGCAGCCTGCACCTCCGCCTGAACCCTGCTGTCGTGTTAAAGACACTTCCGAGCCATCTTTTTCTTTTCTTTAGGAAAAAAAAAAAAAATTATTTATATATATATATATATATATATATATATATATATATATTATATTATTGATTTTTTTACAGAGAGGAAGGGGGCGGGATCGGGAGCTAGAAACATCGATGAGAGAGAAACATGGGCCAGCTGCCTCTTGCATGTTCCCTACTGGGGATGTGCCCGCAACCAAGGTACATGCCCTTGACCAGGATCAAACCCGGGACCCTTCAGTCCGCAGGCCAACGCTCTATCCACTGAGCCAAACCGGTTTCGGCCATCTTTTTCTAGTATAACTTTTTCTCCTGCATATAAATTAGGTTTTTATTTTTATTTATTTTCTGTTTTTTGTTGTTTTTTTTTTAATCCTCACCAAGGATATTTTTCCATTGATTTTTTTTAGAGAGAGTGGAAGAGAGGGAAAGAGGGAGAGAAACATCCATGTGAGAGAGACACATTGATGGGTTGCCTCCTGACCAGGGCCCGGTTCAGGCAGGAGCCTGCAATCAAGGCATCCAACCCAGGAACCTTTGGTCCACAGGCCCACACTCTATCCACTGAGCCACACCTGCTTGGGTTAAACTAGATTTTTTAAATGTCCTCAGGCAGCCCTAGCTGGTTTGGCTCAGTGGATAGAGCGTGGGCCTGCGGACTGGAGGGTCCTGGGTTCTATTCTGGCCAAGGGGGCTTGCAGGAGGCAGCCGATCGATGATTCTCTCTCATCATTGATGTTTCTCTCTCTCCCTCTCCCTTCCTCTCTGAAATCAATAAAAATGTATTTAAAGAGAACGGATTTTACAAACTCAAAGCGTGCATTGGCCAGAGTAAGTGGCATCCACCTGCTAGCGATTCCGTAAGCATTTATCTCAGGACGTGTTGATGCTTCTCGCACAATATTCTCTAAATGGACTGGTCTCCAACAAGTCGCTCTACACCCCCTGGCCCATGGCTCTCTGTCCCTGTGACTGCGGCGGCGGGAGGGGAACGCGGCCGGCGGCAGAGGCGGGGTCACGCTGACATGAGCGTCCTTCGCTGTTGTCCTCAGGCCGGCCAGACGGATGCCCTGCAGAAGGAGGAGCTCCAGGCTGCAGTGGATGCCGCCAACAGCGCTGCCCAGCAGTACCAGCGAAGTAAGGCCCCCGCCGGGCTCCCGAGGCGGGGAGGGAAGTGGCTTCATGGCTTCGTTGTGATGCAGTTTGCATCCCTGCCGTTTGCCCCCTGCCAGGGAGACCACTCTCTGAGACGGGGGTTCCACTTGGGGTGGTGTGCAGAGCGGAACTTCTTTTCGTGACAGCTGGCACCTCCCCACCCCACCCCCGGGGCTCCCTCCGCTGACCGTGTTTCTGACCCCTTTCTCTGCCAGGGCTCGCCGCCGTGGCCGCCATCAACGCTGCCATCCAGAAGGGCGTGGCCGAGAAGACGGTTCTGGAGCTGATGAACCCCGAAGCCCAGCTCCCCCAGGTGTACCCCTTTGCTGCCGATCTGTACCAGAAGGAGCTGGCCACGCTGCAGCAGCAGAGTCCTGAAGTAAGTGAGCAAAGCGCAATGGGAGGGCCCGGCCGGCGTGGCTCAGTTGGTTGAGCATCAGCCTATGAGCCAGGAGGTCACGGTTCGATTCCCGGTCAGGGCACAGGCCCGGGTTGCAGGCTTGATCCCCAGTGTGGGGCATGCAGGAGGCAGCTGGTCAGTGATTCTCATCAATGATGTTTCTAGCTGTTTCTCCCTCTCTCTTTGTCTCTGAAAACAATAAAAAAACAAAACAAAACAAAAAAAACATACAAAACGCCCTAACCGGTTTGGCTCAGTGGATAGAGCATCGACCTGTGGACTGAAGGGTCCCAGGTTCGATTCCGGTCAAGGGCACGTACCTTGGCTGCGGACACATCCCCGGGTGTGTGGGTGTGCAGGAGGCAGCTGATTGATGTTTCTCTCTCATCGATGATTCTAACTCACTATCCCTCTCCCTCTCTGTAAAAAATCAATAAAATATATATATTTTAAAAACTACACACAAAACAAAACAGAAAGCAGAGGGAGGGAGGTGAATAACCACATCATGGTGCGATTAGGGACATCAAGTTTTTATTTGTCTTTTTTTTTTAAAATATATTTTATTGATTTTTTACAGAGAGGAAGGGAGAGAGATAGAAACATTGATGAGAGAGAATCATCCATCAGCTGCCTATTGCGCAGCCCCTACCGGGAATGTGCCCAAAACCACGGTACATGCCCTTGACCAGAATCGAACTCGGGACCCTTCAGTCTGCAGCCTGACGCTCTATCCACTGAACCACACTGGTTAGGGCGGGACACCCGAGTTTTTTAACCAGAAACGTAGATGCCTTGGTACTCCTTCCCTCAGTCCCTCACTCCGCCCCCCTCCCGCTCTCCCTGCAGCACAGCCTCACCCACCCTGAGCTCTCCGTGGCCGTGGAGATGCTGTCGTCCGTGGCGCTCATCAACAGGGCGCTGGAGTCCGGGGACATGAGCACGGTGTGGAAGCAGCTGAGCAGCTCGGTGACGGGCCTGACCAACATCGAAGAGGAGAACTGTCAGAGGTGGGCCCCGGCGGGGGGACCCTCCGACCGCCCGGACCTCCGCTGCGGCTCAGCCGGCAGCTCTGGCTTTCTCCACGGTCGCTGGGATCGTCTTTTTTCTTTCTTTCCTATTTCCATTCATTTTATACTTTATCGTACACCCTGGCGAAAGCCATAACGTCCCGGAACATTCTCTGAATCGAGTCCACACCTTCGTACTTCCTCACTGGTTCCACGGCTCTTCGGCTGGTTTGTTCAAACCGGGGGCTGGTCCTGGACCTTGTGTTACTTCTGTCTGCTGTGTCCCTTCGGCGTCTTTTAGCCCAGAATTGTCCCTGTCTTCACGACCCTGATTGGTCAGAGAGAGGGGGCCAGTTGGTCTACAGAATGCTCCATCTTCTGGTTCTGGTTGCCTCGGAATACTTGTCTCATTCCTCTAAACTGGAAATGATGTCTAAAGTAAGGTGACCGGACGTCCCGCTTTTGGCGGGACAGTCCCGATTTCTAATGATGTGTCCCGCGTCCCACGGCGTTTTGGAAACAAAAATCGGGACTTTTTTTTTAAACGCCGTGGGATGCGGGACACATTGTTTGAAATCAGGATGTCTGGTCACCTTAGCTAAAGGCATGTCGAGATTTAGTTGAACATCTTTGGTGACGTGTGTGTATCTCATTTTCTCATATCAAGACTCCTGTGAAATCTGCTGTCCTGCCGTTAACAGTACAAAGATTGGTCTTTAGAGGACAGCTCATCCCTCCAACGGAGATCTGAGTCTCTCTCTCACCAGATCAGAATCTCTCTGCACCTTTTGCGCCGTGCTCATGCGCAGTTCCCCATTAACCTTTGACCCTTGATAATCCTTGCCTACATAGGCGCTTCAGTAAGAGCTGCTGAATGAGGACTTTTTTATTTATTTATTTTTTAATTGATTTTTTTACAGAGAGGAAGGGAGAGAGATAGAGAGTTAGAAACATCGATCAGCTGCCTCCTGCACACCCCCCACTGGGGATGTGCCCGCAACCAAGGTACATGCCCTTGACCGGAATCGAACCCGGGACCCTTCAGTCCGCAGGCCGACGCTCTATCCACTGAGCCAAACCGGTTTCGGCTGAATGAGGACTTGTTGATGCATCATTCCTCCTGCATGTCCCAGCCGGTGGGTGGCCTTACTTCCTTATCTCGGAGCTGCTGCCTCTCTCTCATTCTAGAGTTAGTCTTCCTTGGAATTGAGAGGCTGTCAAGAATAGGCGATATCCGCCGAAACTGGTTTGGCTCAGTGGATAGAGCGTCGGCCTGCGGACTGTAGGGTCCCGGGTTCCATTCCGGTCAACAGCATGTACCTTGGTTGCGCTCACATCTCCTGTTGGGGGGTGTGCAGGAGGCTGTCGATCGATGACTTTCTGTCCCTCTCTCTTCTTCTCTGTAAAAAATCAATTTTATATATATATATATATATGTATATATATATATATACACACACACACACATAAAGAATAGGTGATAGCCTTAAATTTTTTGTAAGGTCACTCAGTCGCGGAGCTGGCCTCTAGAATGTACCGGGTACCTTAACTGTCTATGTTCTCGGAGACTGCCCACTGTTCCCTTCCTCGCCCTTGCTGCCCCCCCCCCCACGTCTTCTCACTGCTGTCACCCACAGTGATCCGGAAGGAAGGTCCCTTCCATTCTGTTGCCCTTCACTGTCCTTGTCCTTGGGGGGCGGGGCAGGTACCTGGACGAGCTGGTGAAGCTGAAGGACCAGGCCCACGCGGAGAAGAACGAGTTCATCACGTGGAACGACATCCAGGCCTGCGTGGACCACGTGAACCTGGTGGTGCAGGAGGAGCACGAGAGTGAGTAGCCCGTCCCATCCCCCCACGTGACGCGGTGCCAGGGGGCGTGATGCCGTGAGCCGGCTCTAACCTCGACTCCTAGGGCGGGGAGCGGGAAGGGGGGTTGAAAATTGAAATCGGTATAACTCAAAAGCTAAGGTTGGGTATTATTTTCAAAACATCAGGCAACTGCTATCATTAAGATATGAAGAAGGGTCTTGGGCACATGCCCAGGTTGTGGGTTTAATCCCCAGGAGGGGCCGTGCAGGAGGCAGCCGGTCAGTGATTCTCTCTCGATCATTGATGTTTCTATCGCCCTTTCCCATTCCCTTCCTCTCTGAAATAAATTATATATATATATTTTCCAGGAGATAAATTGAATATGATTTTTTATTTATTTTTTAAAAATATGTTGTATTGATTTTTTACAGAGAGGAAAGGAGAGGGATAGAGAGTCAGAAACATTTATGAGAGAGAAACATTGATCAGCTGCCTCCTGCACGCCCCCCACTGGGGATGTGCCTGCAACCAAGGCACATGCTCCTGACCGGAATCGAACCTGGGACCCTTCAGTCCGCAGGCAGATGCTCTATCCACTGAGCTAAACTGGCTAGGGCTGGTTTTTTATTTTTAAGTGCTACCCTGTTTCCCCGAAAATAAGACAGTGTCTTATATTAATTTTTTCTTCCAAAGTTGCGCTACTAGGTCTTATTTTCGGGGGATGTCTTATTTTTGGGGAAACACGGTACTGTAACAAGCCTAGGTGAGCTCTGACACCGGTTCCCTGGAGTTGGCTCGTATTGATAGTGTTGAGGGCACAGGGCTCAATATTATGGATGACAAACTATGATTTGAGTCGTGGCAGTGCTTGTTGGATTTATGCACACTTAGCTTGCTTACAGACTGATCTGTTTATGGAATGTCTTAAAGCCATGTTTCCCAAACTTTTGACACAGGTGTACCCCTTCTATAATTTTCGTAACGCTGAGGACCCCTCGTGCTCATGAGAACGTAGAATTAGGCACAGCTAAGCATGGAGCAGTGCATATCCCCACCAAACTCCGGTGCAACGCGTACCCCCACCATACTCTTCCCCCCGTACCCCTGGGGGTACGCGTTCCACACTTTGGGAAATACTGGCTTAAAGAACGACCTCTCTCTCTCCCTCTTCAGGGATCTTAGCCATCGGCCTCATTAACGAGGCCCTGGATGAGGGGGATGCCCAGAAGACCCTGCAGGCCCTGCAGATCCCTGCAGCCAAGCTGGAGGGCGTCCTGGCGGAGGTGGCCCAGCATTACCAAGACACGCTGATCCGAGCAAAGAGGGAGAAAGCCCAGGTGAGTGGCACCGGCAGAGTCGCTTCTGTTCCGAGAGTTTCCTCCCTCCAGGCACCGAGATACAGGGATGATGCCTCCCCTGATCCCGCCCCCACCCACCCCCCCAGGGACTGCTCCTAGGCACCTCACAGTAACAGCTCTGTAACTGGGCTGAAACCGGTGTGGCTCAGTGGATAGAGCATCAGCCTGCGGACTGAAAGGTCACAGGTTCGATTCTGGTCAAGGGCATGTACCTTGGTTTTGGGCACATCCCAGTAGGAGGTGTGCAGGAAGCAGCTGATGGATGTTTCTCTCTCATTGATGTTTCTGACTATCCCTCTCCTTTCCTCTCTGTAGAAAATCAATAAAATATATTGAAAACACACACACACAAAGAGGCACATTAATGTGCTGAGTGTCCGTTGATCCTGGGGTGAGGGTTGAATCATAACTCTTGTTTGTAGCCAGGAACTTGAGACAAAGGGATCAACTGATGTTACTCAGGTCAGAAGCAGTTGGCTGTGGGAAAGCTATCAATGGAGGTCTCTGTCTCTGATAATCAATTTTGGATCAATTGGATTAGTTCTTCCCCAAAATTTTTAAAAAGTACGGTATATTGATTTCAAGAGAGGAAGTGGGTGGGAGAGAGATCGAAACATCAATGATGAGAGAATCATTATCTGCTGCATCCTGCCCGCCCCCTAGTGGGGATTGAGTCCCCAACCCTGGGATTCGAATCCTAGGACGACACTCAACCACTGAGCCATGTCAGCTGGGCAGTTCTTCCCAAACTTGGCTGATCATCAGAACGCTTGGAAAGATATTTTAAAAGTGCAAATTCCTGCCCTGGCCGGTTTGGCTCAGTGGATAGAGCATCGGCCTGCGGACTCAACGGTTCCAGGTTTGATTCTGATCAAGGGCATGTACTTTGGTTGCGGGCACATCCCCAGTAGGGGATATACAGGAGGCAGCTGATTGATATTTCTCTTTCATTGATGTTCTAACTCTCTATCCCTCTCTCTTCCTCTCTGTAAAAATTAATAAAATATATATATTTTTAAAATGCAGATTCCTAAGATGTATGCTCTTTTTTTTTTTATTTTATTTTTATTGATTTTTTACAAAGAGGAAGGGAGAGAGATAGAGAGCTAGAAACATCAATGAGAGAGAAACATCGACCAGCTGCCTCTTGCACACCTCCTACTGGGGATGTGCCCGCAACCAACGTACCGGAATCGAACCTGGGACCTTTCAGTTCGCAGACCGATGCTTTACCACTGAGCCAAACCGGTTCTGGCAAGATGTATACTCTTGTTTCTGCTTATTCAGAATCTCTAAGTGGGGGCCCGGCTCCAGTGATTCTGTCTAGACCCCAGTGGTGATGTTTGTTTTTGCTGCCATATAAGTCTACAAGGAATCTCATTATGTTTGATTGACAGAGAAGTGGACCTTGGGAAAATAAGCTAGGCCAGGTCCCACGTCTAAAAAAGGAAACCAGATTGAGACTGCTATAGCTTGTACCTGCTCTCACTCCCGCTCTGAGCCCTCTGGGAGGGCTGTGGGAGTTAAGCTGTCAGAGGATGTGACTAGAGTTGGAAGCATTTCCGTTTGCCGTGGAATAACTTTTCAGAGGACGGGGGTGGGGTTGGAGAGAATTTGCTTAGCGCTGCCAGGCCCACACGTTAGAAGTTACTAGGCTTTTTTTTAGGCCTCAGCTTAGCTTGTAACTTTCCTCTGGGCCATCTTGAAAGTGGTTTTAAAAATAATCTGATTTCCAAATTTATCAAGCAAAAGGTCTTACTTTAGACCTTTAGTTCTCTTGTGGGGTCTTTGGGTCTAGCTTTGGTGTCAGGGTAATACTGACCTCAGAGACTGAATTGGGAAGTTTTCCTCCTGTGCTTCAGAAGCGTTTGTAAAGGATTGGTGTTAGCTTCTTTAGACATTTGGTAGAATTCACCAGTGAAGACATGTGGTCCTGTGTTTTGGGCTTTTTTTAAGGATTAAAAAAAAAAAAAAAAAAATATATATATATATATATATATATATATATATATATATTATTGATTTTTTTTTTTTTTTTTTTTTTTTTTACAGAGAGGAAGAGAGGGATAGAGAGTTAGAAACATCAATGAGAGAGAAACATCGATCAACTGCCTCCCACACACCTTCTACTGGGGATTTCTCCCACAACCCGGGCATATGCCCTCACTAGGAATCAAACTGGCGACCTCTTGGTTCCTGGGCTGATGCTCAACCACTGAGCTACACTGGCCGGGCTTCACCCTTTTTTCTTTCTTTCTTTTTTTTAAATTTAATTCCTGCTTCTTCTAGTTGACTGTTCCATGTGTCTCACGTGTTTGGAGCTTTCTCCATATCTAACGGAGTCTCAGAAGCCCCTGATTTCATGACTTTAAAAAAAGAAAGAAAGTATTTTATTGATTTTTTACAAAAAGGAAGAGAGAATGATGAGAGAGACATCGACCAGTGATGAGAGAGACATCGACCAGCTGCCCCCTGCACACCCCCTACCAGGGATGTGCCCGCAAACCAAGGCACATGCCCTTGACCGGAATCGAACCTGGGACCTTTCAGTTCGCAGGCCATCGCTCTACCCACTGAGCCAAACCAAACCGGTTTCAGCTGATTTCACGGCTCTTACTGTTACGTTGCTTTTCTCGGTGTGTAGGAAACCCAGGACGAGTCCGCTGTGCTGTGGTTGGATGAAATTCAAGGCGGCATCTGGCAGTCCAACAAGGACACGCAGGAGGCACAGCGGTGTACGTATGGCCGGTTTATTCCTCTTGGGGGAGGGCGGGGAGGCGAGGTGCTCCGTGTCACGTTAGGCAGATCAGCATTGGGGGACACTGCTCGCCAGCAGGCACAGCCAGGTGAACCAGGGTACGGATGTAGGGCTTCCTAAACTAAGGTGAGCAGACGTCCCGCCACAGTCCCGATTTTCAACCATTTGTCCCGCGTCCCATGGCATTTTAAAAAAGCTCGATTTTGCCTACACCTGTGTGACTCAGTGGATAGAGCGTCGGCCTGCGGACTGAAGGGTCGGGTTCGATCCCATTCAAGGGCATGTACCTTGGTTGCAGGCACATTCCCAGTAGGAGGTGTGCAGGAGGCAGCTGATGGATGTTTCTCTCTCATCGATGTTTCTAACCCTCTATCTCTCTCCTTTCCTTTCTGTAAAAAAATTAATTAAAAAAAATTATATATATATATATATATATATATATATTTTTTTTTTTTAAAGTCCCGATTTTATTCTTTCCAAAAATCGGGACTTTTTTAAAACACTGCGGGACAAATTGTTGAAAATCAGGACTGTCCTGCCAAAAGCGGGACGTCTGATCACCTTGTAAGTTAGGCAGATCAGCATGGGGGGGGGGGGAACAGCTTTCCAACAGGCACAGCCAGGTGAACCAGGATATGGATGTAGGGCTTCCTAAACGATCCCGGTAACACTTCTCTTCCGTGACAGTCGCCGTGGGCATCTTTGCCATCAACGAGGCCGTGCAGAGCGGCGACGTCGGCAGGACGCTGAGCGCCCTCCGCTCCCCAGACGTGAGCCTGTACGGGGTCATCCCGGAGTGCTGCGACACCTACCAGAGCGACCTCGCCGAGGCCAGGAGGAAGAAGCTGGCGGCAGGTGAGTTTACGGTGAAACGCACGTGTGGCCCGAAGCCGAGAGCGTGAGTGTGCGAGGGGCCTGGGGTGGAGGGGAGGGCGGTCTGTAGAGAGAGATAACTTCCGTGTAGACGTACGGTATCTGGACTTATTTTATTTTATGATAAATATATTCCAATCTTTTTTATTTACTTATTTTCTTTTTAAAATTTATTTATTTTTAAATATATTTTATTGATTTTTTTTTACAGAGAGGAAGAGAGAGGGATAGAGAGTTAGCAACATAGATGAGAGAGAATCATCGACCAACTGCCTCTTGAACACCTCCCACTGGGGATGTGCCCACAACCAAGGCACACAACCTTGACGGAAATCGAACCTGGGACCCCCTCAGTCCGCAGGCTGACGCTCTATCCACTGAGCCAACCAGTTTCGGCCAGAAAGTAGTTTTCTGGCACATAAGGTCTTAGATGTTGGTTTTGGGAAGGACAAAGCTAATCAAAGTTTATTCCACAGTTGGACTTTGCAGGAGTTTTTTTTTTATATATATATATTTTTATTGATTTCAGAGAGGAAGGGAGAGGGAGAGGGAGATAGACACATCAATGATGAGAGAGAATCACCGATTGGCTGCCTCCTGCACATCCCCTACTTGGGATCAAGCCCACAACCCGGGTATATGCCATGACTGGGAATTGAACCCGGGACCCTTCAGTTTGCAAGCTGACGCTCTATCCAAGCAGTGGTCGGCAAACTGCGGCTCTTGAGCCGCATCCACAGTTTGCCGCTCTGTTGACTAATGAGTCCGCAGGCTGATGCTCTATCCACTGAGCCACATCGGTTTCGGCTCCGGGACCCTTTTCACCTTCCCTTTCCTGTCCGCTAGGCGATAACAACAGCCAGTGGGTGAAGCACTGGGTGAAAGGCGGATATTATTATTACCACAACCTGGACACGCAGCAGGGAGGATGGGACGAGCCCCCAGGCTTCGTGCAGAACTCCACGCAGCTCTCGAGGGAGGAGATCCAGGTAGGCGGCCCTCCCTCGGGGAAGGAGCTGAGAGAGAGCGGGATGGAGCCGAAAGGGTGCTTGGAGGAACAGGCCTGTGGTCAGAAGCCTCGGCCTAAAACCGAGGCTGCGTAATGAACTGGTGCAGAGTAACTATTTGTCTAGCCCCGTGGCTGGCAAACCGCGGCTCGCGAGCCACATGCGGCTCTTTGGCTCCTCGGGTGCGGCTCTTCCACGAAATACCACGGCCTGGGCGAGTCTATGTTGAACGAGTGGCGTTAGAAGAAGTTTAAGTTAAAAAAAAAAATTGGCTCTCAAATTTCAATCGTTGTCCTGTTGATGTTTGGCTCTGTGGACGAATGAGTTTGCCGACCACTGGTCTAGTGGCTGGGGGAGTGACTCAAGGCCTAACTTGGGAAAACATCAGTATTGTAGAATGTAAGTCAGACAAATTGTGTGCTTATGAGAGAAAACGTGGATGCCCAGAGAGAAGAATGAAAGGTTGCTCTCACTCCTCATTACATGCAACTGCTGTTCATCTCTCCCAGCTCACGTTTCCTCCCTCTTTTCGGACCGCCCCGCCCACTCCGGACTGGGCTGTGTTAGACCATACGCTGTCCGTCACAGACAGGCTGGCCATTCCCCTGCGTGTCCTCCTCCAGGGGCTCCTGGGACTGGCTACTCAGCCCCTGCTGGCCCCTGTTCCTCTGTCCTCTTTATTATTACTTTTTAAATACATATTTTATTGATTTTTTTAACAGAGAGGAAAGGAGAGGGATAGAGAGTTAGAAACATCGATGAGAGAGAAACATCGATCAGCTGCCTCTTGCACACCCCCTACCGGGGATGTGCCCGCAACCAAGGCACATGCCCTTGACGGGAATTGAACTCGGGTCCCTTGAGTCCGCAGGCTGATGCTCTATCCACTGAGCCAAACCGGGTTAGGCCTTTTTTTTTTTTTTTTTTTTTTTTGTATTTTTATTGATTTCAGAGAAGAAGGGAGAGGAAGAGATAGAAACATCCATGATGAGAGAGAAGCATTGATCGGCTGCCTCCTGCACGCCCCACACTGGGGATGGAGCTCGCAACCCGGGCCTGTGCCCTGACTGGGATTCGAACCCTGACCTCCTGGTTCCTAGGTCCACACTCAATCACTGAGCCATGCCGGCTGGGCTCCTCTGTCTTCTTGTCAACAATGACCCACGCACGGCGCCTGGCAGTCAGTGTTGGGCAGGATAAGTGGGTACATAGGAGGTGAAAGAAGATCAAGTTGTGTGTTTTTTTTCCTGTGGCTTTTTGAGGGTATGAGAGCAACCTGCCCTGAAAAATAGACCTGAAGCCATTCCCGTTGCTCAAAGATCTAGAAAGATCGGAGAAAGCAGTCAGGGCTGGTGTGTGCGCTGCGGATGATACCGCGTTGAAATGTGTCCCTCCTCACCTATGTACGTCTGTCTGCCCGGTGCCCGCGTGCCTTTCAGAGCTCCATCTCCGGGGTGACCACTGCGTACAACCGCGAGCAGCTCTGGCTGGCCAACGAGGGCCTGATCACCAAGCTGCAGGCTTGCTGCCGCGGGTACCTCGTCCGACAGGAGTTCCGCTCCCGGATGAATTTCCTGAAGAAACAGATTCCCGCCATCACCTGCATCCAGGTATTTCCGAGCCCGGGACACGGGCCATGGGAGGGCGCCGAGGGCAGCACTCAGAGACCGCCAGTTCTCAGGGGCGTGTGTGTGTGTGTGTGTGTGTGTGTGTGTGTACGTACGTGTGTGTGCGTTTGTGTGTGTGTGTTTTCCTGCTGACCTCCTGGTCTCATCCTTCTTCTTCTTTATCTTTCTTTCTTTTAAAAATATATTTTATTGATTTTTTTACGGAGAGGAAGGAGAGGGATAGAAAACTAGAAACATCGATGAGAGAGAAACATCGATCAGCTGCCTCCTGCACACCCCCCACTGGGGATGTGCCCGAAACCAGGGTACATGCCCTTGACCGGAATCGAACTGGGACCTTTCAGTCCGCAGGCTGACACTCTATCTACTGAGCCAAACTGGTTTCTGCTGGAGGCAGTTTTTTTTTTTTTTTTTTAATATATTTTATTGATTTTTTTTACAGAGAGGAAGAGAGAGGGATAGAAAGCTAGAAATATCGACTAGCTGCCTTCGGCACACCCCCTACTGGGGATGTGCCCGCAATCAAGGTCCATGCCCTTGACCAGAATTGAACCTGGGACCTTTCAGTCCGCAGACCGACGCCCTATCCACTGAGCCAAACCGGTTTTGGCTGGAGGCAGTTTGAAAAGGTGTGCCGTGCGGTGCTCACACCAGGGGAGTGGACACTGGCCACTGTGCTCCCCTGTTGGCGGCCCAGTCTCGGCCCTCACTCCCCAGTCCCCGGAGGATGTGGTCCTCTTTAAACCATGCCAGGAACCGCCCGGGACAGAGGGTCGAGGAGAGGTGTTGGCATTCCCTCTCTTCCCCGGGAAACAATGTGCCGACTGACTGTCCTGTCCGATGGTTTCAGTCGCAGTGGCGAGGGTACAAGCAGAAGAAGGCCTATCAGGACCGGCTGGCGTACCTGCGCTCCCACAAGGATGAAGTCGTGAAGGTACGGTGGCCCGGGCGGGTCACTCCGTGCAGGGTGCCAGCGTGGCCTGCGTCCAGGCGAAGGGCTTTTGTAATTCCCAGGGTCATTCTGTCCACAGATCCAGTCCCTGGCGAGGATGCACCAGGCCAGAAAGCGCTACCGGGGCCGCCTGCAGTACTTCCGAGATCACGTACGTCCCCTGGGTTGGCGGGGCTGGTGGGATTGTTTGTTGTTGTTTTTTAATTGATTATGGTATCACATAATTGTCCTCATCCCCCCAATCCCATCTCAAACCCCTCCCCACATATGCCCCCACCCCCCTGTTTCCACGGCCACTGGCCAAGCCCATATGCACACACACAAGTCCCTTACCCCCACCCTCCCCTACTTTCCCTCTGAGGTTTGATGGTCTGATCGCTGCTTTTCTGTCTCTGGGTCTGTTTTTGTTCATCCGTCTGTGTTGTTCATTATTTCCTCTAGATGTGTGAGATCATGTGATCCAAGAAATACCCTTGTAAGAACCTAAACTGAGATAATCCGTAATGGTTCTGCTGAGAGGCCAATGAAGGGATCAGTTTTGTGATCTCTTTGGTGGTGGGCCCATAACCAACAGCGTTTCTCCTCTGTTCCTTAGATAAATGACATCGTCAAAATCCAGGCTTTCATTCGGGCCAACAAAGCTCGTGACGACTACAAGACGCTCAGTGAGTAACTGTGGCCTGGCGGAGGCGGCGTGGAGGCCCCCGGGGCCTGGGTACTCTCCACGGATCTCTCTTATTTCCTGCAGGCAAGCCCGGGGGCCGGGGGCCGCTTGCGATTGATTTATTGGTTTAACCCCCTTTGCTAACCTGGGGCTGCATGTCCTGTCTTCCACGTGTCCACCTTGGTCACCATAGCGATAGCATGACCGAGAACGCTGCGCCTCGCGACTGTCTTTGCTCATCTCACCATTTAACTAAGGTGACCAGATGTCCCACTTTTGGCGGGACAGTCCCGATTTTTAACAATCTGTCCCTGCCGAAACCGGTTTGGCTCAGTGGATAGAGCGTCGGCCTGTGGACTGAAAGGTCCCAGGTTCGATTCCAGTCAAGGGCACGTACCTTGGTTGCAGGCATATCCCCAGTGGGGGTGTGAGCAAGAGGCAGCTGGTCGATGACTCTCTCTCAGCGACGTTTCTCTCTGTCTCTCTTAATTCCTCTCTGTGTAAAATCAATAAAATACATTTAAAAAAAAAGTTTCTTCCACGTCCCACGGCGTTTTAAAGGTCCCGATTTCTGGATCTTTCCAAAAATCGGGACTTTTTTAAAAAGCCTCGAGACACAGGACAAATTGTTAAAAATCGGCATGTCTGGTCACCTTACATTAAAACTCACACCTGACTAGAACTCACCCATAACCTTCACCTTCCTGGGACCGGGAACGTCTCCCAGTAACCCCGTCTCTGTCTGACACGTGCCGTCTCTCCGCCAGTTAACGCCGAGGACCCTCCGATGATCGTGGTCCGGAAGTTCGTCCACCTGCTGGACCAGAGCGATCAGGACTTCCAGGAGGAGCTGGACCTCATGAAGATGCGGGAAGAGGTCATCACCCTCATCCGCTCCAACCAGCAGCTGGAGAACGACCTCAACCTCATGGACATCAAGATCGGGCTGCTGGTGAAGAACAAGATCACGCTGCAGGTGCGGCTCGGCGGGGCCGCAGGGCATGGCCTGCTCAGGCTGCCCGGCCTCACCCTCGCTGATGCGTGGGGAGGGAGGAGGCTGGCTTTCTCCTTGAATGCCATAACCTTTTAAAAAGTTGCAGAGGAGCCCTGGCCGTTGTGCTCAGTGCATAGAGCGTCAGCCTGCAGACTGAAGGGTCCCAGGTTCAATTCCGGTCAAGGGCATGTACCTTGGTTGCGGGCCCATCCCCAGTGGGAGGTGTGCAGGAGGCAGCTGAACGATGTTTCTCTCTCATCGATGTTTCTGACTCTCTATCCCTCTCCCTTCCTCTCTATAAAAAGTCAATAAAATATATATTTTAAAAAAAATATGTAAAAGAAAAAAGTTACAGATGAGCCAAGACAGGTTTGGCTCAGTGGATAAGAGCATCGGCCTGAGGACTGAGAGGTCCCAGGTTCGATTCCAGTCAAGGGCATGTATCCTGGTTGCAGGCACTTCCTCAGTGGGAGGTGTGCAGGAGTCAGCTGATCGATGTTTCTCTCTCATCGATGTTTCTGACTTTCTATCCCTCTCCCTTCCTCTCTATAAAAAGTCAATAAAATATATATATATATTTTAAAAATAAATAAAATAAAAAAGTTACAGAGGAAATGAAATACTGTGATTTAATAGCAAAATTTAAAATAGAGAGAAGAAGGTAAAAGCCATCCTGTAATTTCACCACTGCACAATCATTTCGTATGGGACCTTTTTACTTCATATTAGAAGATAAAATGTTTTCCAGGTGATAAAGTCATCATATTATTTTTTTTAATTTATTTTTATTGATTTCAGAGAGGAAGGGAGAGGGGGAGAGAGAGAGAAACATCAATGATGAGAGAGAATCATGGATTGGCTTGGCTGCCTCCTGCACGCCCCACACTGGGGATCAAGCCCACAGCCTAGGCCTGTGCCGTGACCAGGAATCGAACCGTGACCTCCTGGTTGATAGGTCCATACTCAACCACTGAGCCATGCCGGCCAGGCAGTCACAAATATTATTATTATTATTATTTTTAAAAATATATTTTATTGATTTATTCACAGAGAGGAAGAGAGAGGGATAGAGAGTTAGAAACATCGATGAGAGAGAATCATCGATCAGTTGCCTCCTGCACACCCCCTACTGGGGATGTGCCCGCAACCAGGTACATGCCCTTGCCCGGAATCGAACCCGGGACCCTTCAGTCCACAGGCCGACGCTCTATCCACTGAGCCAAACCGGTCCCAGCACAAATATTATTTTTAATAGCAATATTATAACTAATTAGAAGATACATTATAATTTACCTCTATTTCCCCTCCAACTATTTGGCCAGTTTTTATTATTACAGATAACATTGCAGGGAATATCTTGATGAAAACGTAGCTTTTATCACATGGAAGGCTTTGACTTGCAGGTAGATTCCTAGGAGTTGGCTTCCTGAATCAGTGGATGTTTTTATGGATCAGGTTCTTTTTAAAAAGTATATATATTTTTTATTGATTTTTTTATAGAGAGGAAGGGAGAGGGATAGGGAGTTAGAAACATCAAAGAGAGAGAAACATCGGTCAGCCGCCTCCTGCACACCCCCTACTGGGGATGTGCCTGCAAACCAAGGTACATGCCCTTGACCGGAATCGAACCTGGGACCTTTCAGTCTGCAGGCCGACGCTCTATCCACTGAGCAACACCGGTCAGGGCTGGATCAGGTTCTTTATAGGAAGATGAGAGTGGGACTGTATTTCATTGACGTATTGAGAACAGGAGACTCCATCCGACTTGGAGGAATCTGCCGGTGTGGCGAGAGAGAGACCCCCCCAGTGCCCAGCTTTGTCTCTGAACGCTTCTTGACTTACGTGTTGGTTTTTTGTTCGCAGGATGTGGTTTCCCACAGCAAGAAGCTTACCAAAAAGAACAAGGAGCAGTTGTCCGACATGATGATGCTGAACAAACAGAAGGGGGGTCTCAAGGCTCTGAGCAAGGAGAAGAGAGAGAAGCTGGAAGCTTACCAGCACCTGTTTTACTTATTGCAGGTGAGCAGCGCCCGGACTTGGGGCCGAGGAACGTGGCTCGTTTTCTTTTCGTTAAGACAGCCTCACCCACAGACCTCTGTGGCACTGGTTCTGATTTCCGCTGAGGGCTGAGCCAGAGCTGCCTTATTTTCCTATCTTTTCTTTTTTTTTTTTTTTTTAAATTTCTTTATGGATTAAGGTATCACATATTTGTCCTCAACTCCCCATTCCAATCCCCTTCCCCTCCCCCCACTCATGCCCCCATCCCTCTATTGTCCTTGACCATTGGTTAGGCCCATATGTATGCACATAAGTCCTTTTTTTCTTTCTTTTTTTTTTTTTTAATGTATTTTATTGATTTTTTTTACAGAGAGGAAGAGAGAGGGATAGAGAGTTAGAAACATCGATGAGAGAGGAATATATATTTTTTAATATATTTTATTGATTTTACACAGAGCGGAATTGAGAGGGACAGAGAGTTAGAAACATCGATGAGAGAGAAACATCGACCAGCTGCCTCTTGCACACCCCCTACTGGGGATGTGCCCGCAACCAAGGTACATTCCCTTGACCGGAATCGAACCCGGGATCTCTCAGTCCGCAGGCCGACGCTCTATCCACTGAGCCAAACCGGTCCTGGCGAGAGAGGAATATTGATCAGCTGCCTCTTGCACGCCCCCCTCTGAGGATGTGCCCACAACCCAGGCACATGCCCTTGACCGGAATCGAACCCGGGACCTTTCAGTCCGCAGGCCGATGCTCTGTCCACTGAGCCAAACTGGTTTCAGCTTCTTTCTTTCTTTGCTTACATACATCCTCATCCTTCGAGTTTGCAGGACCCTGAGTGTGTTTGCCAGCCCTTACCTTATCCACAAGTGGCTTAAGTCAGTCCCTTGGCTTCGTTTCAGACCAACCCCACCTACCTGGCCAAGCTGATTTTCCAGATGCCCCAGAACAAGTCTACCAAGTTCATGGACTCCGTCATCTTCACCCTCTACAACTACGCCTCTAACCAGCGCGAGGAGTACCTGCTGCTGCGGCTCTTCAAGACTGCGCTCCAGGAGGAGATCAAGTACGGGCCCCCCCTCCTCTCCTCTGCCTCAGGCACACCCCCCCCCCCCCCCCGTCTTCCCCCCGCCCCACTACCACCACACACACACACACCAGAGGCTCAGGGCTGGGCAATAAGGCCGCCTGCACAATACCCTTCACACTCTCAGCAAAGGCTGTGATTTGTGTGAACGACTCACAAGAAGGATCCCCTTGTTCAATCACTGATATATAGTGTGGTTGCAGATGCTAAGGAAGGCGATAAAGTAATCAATTTGCTAAATTCATTTTAGGAACATTTCTAGATTCAAATACAATTTTTTTTTTTAAAGACTGACCTTTAAACCTTTTTTTATTTTTATTTTTTATTTTTAAAATATTCTTATTGATTTCAGAGAGAAAGGGAGAGAGAGAGTGAGAGAAACATCAATGATGAGAGAGCATCATGGATTGGCTGCCTCCTGCAAGTCCCACACTGGGGATCCAGCCCATAAATCATCTGGCCGTGTGCCTCGACCAGGAATCAAACCCTGGATCCTTTAATCCACAGTCCGATGTTCCTTAAAATATAATTTATTGTTTTTGTAATTGATTTCAGAGAGGAAGGGAGAGGGAGAGAGAGAGGGAGAGAAACATCAATGCTGAGAGAGAATTATTGATCTGCTGTCTCCTGCACACTGCATACTGGGGATTGAGCCTGCAACCTGAGCATGTGTCCTTGTATGGAATAAAATCTGGGACCCTTTAGTCCGCAGGCCAATGCTCTATCCACTGAACCAAACCGGTTTCGGCTAAATATAATTTTTATATTTAAGAAGCTGACCCAAACACCAAGATTCCACATTTCTGTCTAATAAAGGACCCTTTGTGTTTTTTCAGCAGCAGAAAGCTGTTCCGTGTTTAGACAAGCGTTTTCCTTCCAATTATTTGTGTCCAGGAAATGGGATCGCTAAGCAGGAAGGATCTTCATGCCCGTAGATTCTGTGTAGTTTCAACTCCGTTTGCTTCTGATGTCTTCCTAGGTCGAAAGTGGACCAGATTCAAGAGATTGTGACGGGAAACCCGACTGTTATTAAGATGGTGGTCAGCTTCAACCGTGGCGCCCGGGGCCAGAACGCCCTGCGGCAGATCCTGGCCCCGGTCGTGAAGGAGATCATGGACGACAAATCTCTCAACATCAAGACAGACCCCGTGGATATCTACAAGTCGTGGGTCAATCAGATGGAGTCTCAGACAGGAGAGGCGAGGTATGTAACCACCCTTTTCTGTCCTGCGCTTTATTTTCTCTCTCACTCTCTTTCTCTTTCTCCCTCCCTCACTTTCTTAGCAGTTGACCTTTTATTTACAAGCTGATAATTGTTCAAATAGCTTTTCCTTAGAAACCTCTTTATTAAATTGTTGACCTGGTAATACGTTCATTTATTTAGCAAGTATCTACTGAGTTCTTTTTAAAAAAAATGTATTTTATTGATTTTTTACAGAGAGGAAGAGAGAGGGATAGAGGGTTAGAAACATTGATGAGAGAGAAACATCGATCAGCTGCCTCTTGCACACCTCCTACTGGGGATGTGCCCGCAACCAAGGTACATGCCCTTGACCGGAATCAAACCTGGGACCTTACAGTCCGCAGGCTGATGCTCTATATCCATTGAGCCACACCGGTTTCGGCCCGGCCCCCTTATTTTTTTTTTTATTATTATTATTTTTAATATATTTTATTGATTTTGTACAGAGAGGAAGGGAGAGAGATAGAGAGCTAGAAACATCGATGAGAGAGAGTCATCGATCAGCTGCCTCTTGCACACCCCCCACCGGGGATATGCCCGCAGCCAAGGTACATGCCCTTGACCGGAATCGAACCCGGGTCCCTCAGTCCACAAGCCGACGCTCTATCCATTGAGCCAAACCGGTCTCGGCCCGGCCCCCTTATTTACTGGGTCAATGAACACGAGCAAGTTGCCTGATCTCTCTGGGTCTTTCTGTTTTACGAAATGCGTGGCCCTGCCTTGGCCACTGCCCGGCGGCTTCTGGCCTAACCCTATCGGGGGGGTCATTTCTGCCTCCGCAGCAAACTCCCCTACGACGTGACCCCCGAGCAGGCCCTGGCCCACGAGGAGGTCAAGACCCGCCTCGACAGCTCCATCAGGAACATGCGGGCCGTGACGGACAAGTTCCTCTGCGCCATCATCAGCTCCGTGGACAAAATCCCGTGAGTGCCTCCCGCCGTGACCCCGCACACACAGCCCAGCGGCGCGGGCGCCCTCCCGCTCCCCGGCCCCCCTCACACCTGGTGTCCGTCTCGCAGCTACGGGATGCGCTTCATCGCCAAGGTGCTGAAGGACTCGCTGCACGAGAAGTTCCCCGATGCCGGTGAGGACGAGCTGCTGAAGGTAAGACCCGGGAAGCGGGCTCGGCCTGGCCCTTCCAGGAAAACAGGGATACCAGGAGGCCCGCCCACAGACCCTTCGCAAGAGCCTGAGTCCCGGATATAGCTCGCCACAGATTGCGATTGTAAAACAGTCAATGACACCTCTTGGAATGTCTATAGGGTTTGAATGGCCCGCATCAATGAAGTCCGGGTGGATTCTTCCTGTATTTTTTTTTTTTTTTAATATGTTCTTGTTGAATTTATTTTTATTTCTTTAATATTTTGTTGATTTTTTACAGAGAGGAAGGGAGAGAGAAAGAGAGAGTGAGTTAGAAACATCAATCAGCTGCCTCCTGCACACCCCCCACTGGGGATGTGCCCCCAGCCAAGGTACATGCCCTTGACCGGAATTGAACCCGGGACCCTTCAGTCCGCAGACTGACGCTCTATCCACTGAGCCAAACCGGTTTCGGCTCTTTTATTTTTACAGAGAGGAAGAGAGAGGGATAGAGAGCTAGAAACCTCGATGAAAGAGAAACATCGATCATCTGCCTCCTGCACACCTCACACTGGGGATGTGCCCACAACCAAGGCACATGCCCTTGACCGGAATCGAACCCAGGACCCTTCAGTCTGCAGGCTGACGCTCTATCCTCTGAACCACACGGGTTTCGGCTCTTCCTGTCTTGAGACACGTCTGCGTTCTGTCTTTTCGCTGCACAATAGCTCCCTCTGCTGGTGGCCAGGTGAAGGGGACCGAGCACAACCGTTTCTGCTGAGGCTGTGGCTGGTAACTCGGACTTGCCTATGCGCCTTTCTCTCCTCCTTTTTTTAATCTATGCTTTTTTCTTCTCTCTCCTAGTTCTTGTGCTTTCCTACAGCGAGGCCTCGCTTCTAGGCTTTCTGTCCAGGTGAATTCATTTTTGTATTTTTAAACGATAGCTCTTGGGGGAAATGCTGTGACTGCCTTGACTTCTGGGGAAGAGTCCGTGTGTTGAGTGACTTTAATTCCTGAGGCATGAACTCGTCTCCCATGATGTCTCTCCCGCATGAGCATGATGGGGTCGCGCTGCGCCAATTCGGTCCCCTTTAAGGATTTATTTTACTTTTATTTTTATTTATTTTTAAAAATATATTTTATTGAGGTAGTACAAAGAGGAATAGAGAGTTAGAAACATCCATCAGCTGCCTCCTGCACACCCCCCCACTGGGGATGTGCCCACAACCAAGGTACATGCCCTTGGCCGGAATCGAACCCGGGACCTTTCAGTCCGCAGGCTGACGCTCTATCCACTGAGCCACACCAGCTTCGGCCAAGGATTTATCTTAAATACCTTTGTCAGCCTCTCCGAATGAAAGCCCACCTGCACGAAAGCGAAAAGTGCTCGTGGGTGGCAGCCTCATGTGCTGCCAGAACATGACAGTGCTCAGTCACAGACGTTATGTCTGTCATTTCCCCCTGCATCTGTCCTTCCTGCTGTAGTGCTTTTCAGTTCTGTCTCATTTTCTCTTGCTCTGCACCCAAACGGGGGATGTTGGGTCACGGCAAGGTCAGACCCTGAGTGCAGGCATGTGTGCATGCATGCACGTGTGTCCATGTGTGTCGTGCCTATCTCCTCTCCCTCCCAGGACTGCGCTTTCTCCTTTCCTTTGCTAGCCGAGTCCTCCGTGACTTCCCTGGTGGATCGGCCTTTAACATCCGTCTTCCTTGGTCCGTCTGTCCCCAGATTATCGGCAACTTGCTGTACTACCGGTACATGAACCCGGCCATCGTCGCTCCGGACGCCTTCGACATCATCGACCTGTCGGCGGGAGGCCAGCTCACCACCGACCAGCGCCGCAACCTCGGCTCCATCGCCAAGATGCTCCAGCATGCGGCGTCCAACAAGATGTTCCTGGGAGACAACGCCCACTTGAGCATCATCAACGAGTACCTTTCCCAGTCCTACCAGAAGTTCAGGTGAGCGGCCGGGGACCGGGGACTGGAAAAGTCTCTGTAGGTTAAGGTGACCAGGCGACCCCCTTTGGGCGGGACAGTCCCGATTTTTAACAATGTGCCCCGCGTCGTTTTAAAACAGTCCCTATTTATTTTTTATTTTTTTATATTTTATTGATTTTGTACAGAGAGGAAGGGAGAGAGACAGAGAGCCAGAAACATCGATGAGAGAGAGTCATCGATCAGCTGCCTCTTGCACATCCCCCACTGGGGACATGCCCGCAACCAAGGCACATGCCCCTGACCGGAACCGAACCCAGGTCCCCTCAGTCCCCAAGCCGATGCTTCATCCATAGAGCCAAACCAGTTTCAGCAACAGTCCCGATTAAAAAAAAAAAAAAAGAAAAAAAATATATATATATTATTAATTTTTAAAAATGTATATATTTTATTGATTAAAAAATATATTTTATTGATTTTTTTTTTTAACAATTTGTCCTACGGCGCTTAAAAAAAGTCCCCATTTTTTTTTAAGCGCCGCGGGACAAATTGTTCAAAATCGGGACTGTCCCATCAAAAGCGGGACGTCTGGTCACCTTACTGTAGGTGTGAGTCTATCTCTGAAGGTAGAGACAAGACTAGAAACCACACCTTGTTCTCCCCCCGGGTTGCCACATCGCAGGACGTGCGTTGGGTTTGCTCAGAGCTCCAGGGCGTGAGCTGTAAATATGTGTCCTGACCCCGGCTGGTGTGCCTCAGTGGATAGAGCGGCGTGAAGGGTGCCAGGTTCAGTTCCGGTTAAAGGCACATGCCTGGGTTGTGGGCTCGATCCCCAGTAGGGGGTGTGCAGGAGGCAGCTGATGGATGTTTCTCTCTCATCAATGTTTCTCTCTATCCATCTCCCTTCCTCTCTGTAAAAAAAAAAAAAAAAATCAATAAAATATATTTTTTAAAAAGTTTTGTACCTGCCCTGGCTGGTTTGGCTCGGTGGATAGAGCATCAGCCTGTGGAAAAGGGTCCCGGGTTCAATTCCAGTTAAATGCACATGCCTGGATTGTGGGTGCGATCCCCAATGGAGGGCATACAGGAGGCAGCCCATCAGTGATTCTCCCTCATCATTGATGATTCTCTCTTCCTTCCTCTCTGAAATCAATTTAAAAATATATATTAAGAATGTGTAACTGGGGACCCTTTTCCCCTCCCCACTTGGGAGTCTGTACTTGTTCTTTAATAAATTTTCGTCTTAAAAAGAAAAAAGGGATGTGTATCTGTGAAATTATAACTAGAGGAGAGTTGGAGAATAGTTTTTTCTTCTAAATCACTGCACTCTTTTCCTTTCCAATTGTCTAATTAAAAAATATATATATATACACATATATTTGTAAATTTCAGAGAGGAAGGGAGAGGGAGAGAGAGATAGAAACATCAATGACTAGAGAGGATCATTGATCAGCTGCCTCCTGCACGCCCCCTACTGGGGATTGAGCCCTCAACCCGGGCATGTGCCCTTGACCAGATGTGAACCCGGTACCCTTCGGCCCGAGGGCCCGTGCTCTCTCAATATCTGTAAGTTAGACGTTTAGTTGTGAGCTCAGGGCATCGGCTTAGACTCGGTTCTCCTGGTGACGCGGGTGTTTAGCTGAGCGGTTCCCACGGGCGGAACTAAAACGGGACGGGGAGAGACATGCTGAAGTTTAAGGCTGCCATGGAAGGGGGACGCACAGCACTCAATCCGGAACCAGCGGTCCGCACCGGCTTCCGCTCGGACCCTTTGCTCCCGGGTTTTGTGGGCTGTCCTCTCGCCGGCTTCTCACACGTGCGTCACCTGATGGGGGCCTGGCTCTCGTGTCTCTTTCCAGGCGGTTCTTCCAAACGGCCTGCGACGTCCCGGAGCTGCAGGATAAGTTTAACGTGGACGAGTACTCCGACCTCGTGACGCTCACCAAGCCCGTGATCTACATCTCCATCGGGGAGATCATCAACACCCACACGGTGAGCCTGCTTCTCCGCTGCTTCGTCTCACTGCTCCGGCCTTCCCCGCCTTCCCCACTGCTGCTTACCCCCTCCAGAGCCAGATAGCTCACTTCCTTTGGCGGGTCTTTTTTTTTTTTTATATATATATAAAATATATTTTATTGATTTTCTACAGAGAGGAAGAGAGAGGGATAGAGAGTTAGAAACATCGATGAAACATCGACCAGCTGCCTCCTGCACATCCCCCACTGGGGAGGTGCCCGCAGCCAACGTACATACCCTTGACCGGAATCGAACCCGGGACCTTTCAGTCCGCTTTACCACTGAGCCAAACTGGTTTTGGCGGGTCTTTTTTTTTTTTTTTATAAAATATATTTTATTGATTTTTTTATAGAGAGGAAGAGAGAGGAAGGAGGTCACGGTCTGATTCCCGGTCAGGGCACAGGCCCGGGTTGCGGGCTCCATCCCTAGTGTGGGATATGCAGGAGGCAGCCGATCAGTGATTCTCTGTCATCATTGATGTTTCTGTCTCTCTCTCCTTCTCCTTTCCTCTCTGAAATCAACAAAAATATATTTAAAAATAAAAAATGAAGTTGCTGAGCCCCCCGCAGGCCTCCTGAAACGGAACCCCCCACGCTGGGCCCTAGACTCCGTGGGAGTGCTGACCTGGGGACTTGATAACACACGGGTGCCTGTTCCTCATTTTCACCCCGCCTGTTACTTCTCTTTACTTGTGTAGTTTTTCTAACGTGAACAGAGGGTATCGGCTTTTTCCTCTTTGTCACCTTAACGTTACTTTCCCTTGAGTGCTCCCTATCCCCCCAAATATCTTTCATTTCTTCCTTTCCCCTTTGGTGGCGTATAGAACAGGAAATGGGAAATCTATACAAAATGTAAAGGACATTTCGGGCGCTGTCATTTCTGAGGATCTCATTTGAGATGATGATCACCTTAACGGCTTTGCTTGAGTGCCTCCAATGGCAGCATTGCCCGGGCGTGCTTTTCTCGGAATGAGAGGTGGTGTGTACAGGAAACAGGAAGGAAGCGTGCGGCTGTGAGCGGCTTGAACTGGTCGCGGGGCACATGGGTGACCCCGGATGTTGAAGTCTGAGGGCTTCCTTTTTTGAAAAAAATATATTTTATTGATTTTTTTACAGAGAGGAAGAGAGAGGGATAGAGAGTTAGAAACGTTGATGAGAGAGAATCATCAATCAGCTGCCTCCTGCACACCCCCCACTGGGGATGTGCCGGCAACCAAGGTACATGCCCTTGACCAGAATCAATCCTGGGACCTTTCAGTCCGCAGGCCGATGCTCTATGCACTGAGCCAAACCAGTTTCGGCTTTCTTGTTCTTCTTACATCGGATATATTCAAACCCTTCACACTCAAGGCTGAGAGAGGGCCAGTGCTTCCCCTCCATGCATCACCAGTCCTCTAGCAGGCCAAGTGTGATGTCTTTTCTAAAAAGTCTTTTTGCCTTAACTGGTTTGGCTCAGTGGATAGAGCGTTGGCCTGCGGATTGAAGGGTCCCAGGTTTGATTCCGGTCAGGGGCATGACCCTTGGTTGTGGGCACATCCCCAGTGGAGGGTGTGCAGGAGGCAACTGGTCGATGTGTCTCTCTCATCGATGTTTCTGACTTTCTGTCCCTCTCCCTCCCTCTCTGTAAAAAAAAAAAAAAAAAAAAAAAAAAAATCAATAAAATATATTTTTAAAATAAAATAAATAAATAAAAAGTCTTTATGGCTTACTGACCGTTTGCATATATATCATCTTTGGAGAAATATCTACTCAAGTCCTATATTTAAAAAATACATTTTCATTGATTTTAAAGCATAAGAAAGAAGGGGGAGAGGGATAGCAACATCAGTGATGAGAGTGAATCATTGATCGGCTGCCTCCTGCACACCCCATCCTGGGGATGCAGCCCACCACCTGGGCATGTGCCCTTGACCAGGAATCGAACCGCAACCTCCTGGTTCATAGGTCGATGCTCAACCACTGAGCCACACTGGCTTGGCAAGTCCTATTTTTTCTTTTTTTAATTTCTTTATTGATTAAGGTATCAATATTTGTCCTCAACCCCCCACTCCACCCCTCATGCCCCCTCCCCCTATTGTCCGTGACTACTGGTTAGGCTCATATGTGTGCACACAAGTCCTTTGGTTGATCTCTCCCTTTTATCCCCACCCTCCTCCTGAGCTCTGACAGGCTCCTTGTCTCTGGGTCTGTTCTTGTTCATCCATCTATGTTGTTCACCATTTCCCCTGGATGCGTGAGATCATGTCCTACTGGAAATATACTTATAAGAGTCAAAAATGAGACAGGCAATAATGGTTATGCTGAGAGGCATATGAATCAGTCTGCAGTGAGTTCCTTTCTGGGCCAACAGTTCTTTTGAGACCCAATTTCAATGTCCAAGAGTTCCTTCTGTGTACATGTCAGCCATGGTATTTCAGTTCTGGATGGTGGGCAAATGGTGGTCTATTTTTCCTTCTAATCCTCATCCAAGGATATGGTTATTTTTTGTTGGTTTGTTTTGCTTTTGGTAAATTTATCTCTGTCGTTGAAAGTATTACAGCTGTCCCGCTCCTCCCCTCCCGGACGCTCTCCTCCCTACTCCTGCCCCCTCCGCTGCACAGCACGTGACGCTTACGTATTTATTGCCGGTTTCGGGGGGGGGTTGCTGAGGACCAGCGTCTCAGCCCTCTGCACGTCGGAGCTTTCCATCTACCCTTCTTTCCTGCGTGCGGGCGGCGCGGGCAGGGCCGGGGTGGCCGGGCTGAGCGTGTCGGTTGAGCTGACCCCGTGGTGTTGGCGCAGCTCCTGCTGGATCACCAGGACGCCATCGCCCCGGAGCACAACGACCCGATCCACGAGCTGCTGGATGACCTGGGCGAGGTGCCCACCATCGAGTCCCTGATCGGTAAGGTCCTGGCCGGCCCAGCCGGCGGCAGTGAGGGGAGCGGGACGGAGGAGGGCTGTGATCGGCCCCTGCCCTGTTCCAGCTCCGGGTCCACGTTCGGGAAGAAGATGTGGGTGGTGTCCGGCGGAGGGGGTCCTTTTATTTATTTATTTATTATAAATTTTTAAAATATATTTTTTTATAAACTTTTAAAAATATATTTTATTGATTTTTTTTTTACAGAGAGGAAGAGAGAGGGATAGAGAGTTCGAAACATTGATGAGAGAGAAACATCCATCCGCTGCCTCCTGCACAACCGCCACTGGGGATGTGCCCACGACCAAGGTACATGCCCTTTGACCAGAATCGAACCTGGGACCTTTCAGGCGCAGGCTGACGCTCTATCCATTGAGCCAAACCGGTTTCATCTGGAGGGGGTCCTTTTAATGTGTCTGCACAACCCTTTAAATGTGTCTGCAAACCCTGAAAGGTCCCAGGTTCGATTCCAGTCAAGGGCACATGCCTGGGTTGTGGGCTCTATCCCCAGTAGGGAGCATGCAGGAGGCAGCCGATGGATGATTCTCTCTCATCATTGATGTTTATAGCTCTCTCTTCCTGTCCCTTCCTCTCTGAGATCAGTAAAAATATATTTAAAAAAACAAATCTTCATATCTTTAAAAAAAAAAAGTGTATCCTATATAATAAAAGGCCCATATGCAAATCAAACGGCGGAACAACCGGTCACTATAACAGACACTGACCACCAGGGGGCAGACGCTCAATGCAGGAGCTGCCCACCAGTGGTCAGTGCGCTCCCACAGTGGGAGCGCCATTCAGCCAGAAGCCCTGAGCTGGGCTCACAGCTGGCAAGAGCAGAGGCAGTGGCGGGAGCCTCTCTGACACAGGCAGGCAGTAATGAGCGAGGGGGACATCTGACTGCCAGCTTAGGCCCCATCCCCATGCAGGGCGAGGGGAGGGTTCAGTTATAACTCGGTGTTGAAATGACTGTCAGGCATCTGTGAGATGAGTTTACTATGGATTTATATTAATTATATCACCTGGCACATGTTTTCTCCTAGTTCTCAGTCAGAGGTGGCCCCGCCCCAGGGTCACGCTGGCTTATTCAGGCACCTCCTTACTCAGGCATGTGTCTTCTGTGGGTTTCTGTCCCCCGTCCCACATCTCCTGTCGTCACTGTACGAGTTCTCCCTGACCCTCCCAAACCCTTAGGGGAAGGCGCTGGCAGCCTCAACGACCCCAACAAGGAGGCGCTGGCCAAGACGGAAGTGTCCCTCACACTGACCAACAAGTTCGATGTGCCCGGGGACGAGAACGCGGAGATGGACGCGAGGACCATCCTGCTGAAGTGAGCACCCCAAGTGGGAAGAACCCCCTCGGCCCCGGTGATCACGCCCATTTGCTTTTCCCCTAAATGGTGACCTTGGCCTTGTGAGCCCGTCATGGTGGTGGTCCCTTCTAATAATACACCCGGCATAGGACTGATCTGCTCTGTTTGCCAATAAGATGCCCAGTGGCCCTAACCGGTGTGGCTCAGTGGATAGAGTGTCGGCCTGCGGACTCAAGGGTCCCGGATTCGATTCCGGTCAAGGGCATGTACCTTGGTTGTGGGCACATCCCCAGAAAGGAGTGTGCAGGAGGCAGCTGATTGATGTCTCTAACTCTCTATCCATCTCCCTTCCTCTCTGTAAATAATCAATAAAATATATATTAAAAAAAAAAAAAAGAGAGAGAGAGATGCTCAAGTGACGTTTCCATCTTGGAGATCCCAACCTTGGCACCCGCTCTGTAAGAGTCGCACGACTCAGTCTGGGGTCTTGAGTACCAGGAGGTGGTGATTATGCCGCCGCTGCTGGGTGGGCCCTTTGAGGAGGCGGGGCACTTGCTGATGTTTAACTGTTCCCTCCGTTTTCCCCAGCACAAAGCGTTTAATCGTGGACGTCATCCGGTTCCAGCCAGGGGAGACCTTGACCGAGATCCTGGAAACACCAGCCACCAACGAGCAGGTAAAACGGAGAGCTCTCACGTGGACTCTTTTTTTTTTTAATTATTATTATTAATTTCTTTATTGATGAAGGTATCACCTATTTGTCCTCATCCCCCCATTCCAATCCCCCACCCCTGCCCACATGCCCCCACCCCCCTGTTGTCCCTGACCACTGGTTAGGCTCATATGTGTGCACACAAGTCCTTTGGTTGATCTCTCCCTTTTATCCCCACCCTCCCCCTGAGGTCCGACAGTCTGACCCACGGCTCCTTGTCTCTGAGTCTGTTCTTGTTCATCCGTCTGTTTTGTTCACCGTTTCCCCTAGATGTGTGAGATCATGTCCTACTGGAAATATACTTATAAGAATAAAAAATGTGACAAGCATAATGGTTATGCTGAGAGGCATATGAATCAGTCTGTAGTGAGTTTCTTTCTGGGCCACCAGTTTTTTTGAGACCCAATTTCAATGTCAAACAGTTCCTTCTGTGTACATGTCAGCCATGATGTTTCAGTTCTGGATGGTGGGCGAATGGTGGTAATCACGCGGACTCTTCACAAGGCAAAGAGGTGCCCCCGGGGCGGGCGGGGCACAGGTAGCCGGAGGTGGTGGCCTGGGGCTGGGCGGAGGGCGGTGCTGGGTAAGGCTCGCCAAGAAGATGGTTGGCTTTTAATGCCAGAGGCAGCTCCCTGGCAGACCATGCTGTATGCGTGCGTGTTTTCTCTTAACTCCAGGCGGAATCAGTGCATCTGCCCGGTAATGTACTGAGAATTAATTATATCGTTAGCATTTTGTTAGGTGCCTTGGTCGATAGAATATAAGTACAGAACGTGGCTCCTGAACTCCACAAGTGCATGATCTAGCTGGGAAGATGTGAGTTAGACACTGAGTGGCCAGATGATGATGATCTCTGAACGCATAATGATCTGGCCACTCAGTGTATATCCTATAGAATAAAAGGCTAATAGGAGAATTGTCCCTTCAACCAGCAGGCAGGCCGGCCAACTGCCCATGTTCCCTCCCCCTGGCCAGGCTGGCCGGACCCCACCATTGCATGAATTCATGCACCAGGCTTTTAATATATATTAACATGTGTGTGTGTACACACACACACACACACACACACATATATAAAATACATACCCAATATATATATACACACATATATATCTAATACATATATACACACACACACACACATACATACATACATATATCTAGTATGTAAAATATACTCACACACACACACACATACACTGAGTGGCCAGATTATTATGCATTCAGAGACCATAATCTGGCCACTTAGTGTATATCAGAAATGATGAAGGAGCCTTTATTTTTTATTTCTAAAAAAATATATTTTATTGATTTTGTACAGAAAGGAAGGGAGAAAGAGTTAGAAACATCAATGAGAGAGAAGCATCCATCAGCTGCCTCCTGCACTCCCCTCACTGGAGATGTGCCCGCAACCCACATGCCCTTGACCAGAATCGAACCTGGGACCCTTCAGTCCCCAGGCCGATGCTCTATCCACTGAGCCACCCTGGCCAGAGTGATGAAGGAGCCTTTGACATTACCTGCAGCACTGGCTGTGTATGCACCAGACGTTCAGGAAAGAGGCCGGCGAGGAACAAGGCATCGGAAAGAGGTGGCGCTGGAGCCACGCTTAGGAGAGAGAGGACGTGAAGCCAGAGGGGCGGGCAGGCCAGGCTGGGGAGCGTGGGAACCGAGGCACCAAGGGCCGTGTGATGTGATGTGGCCGGGCCTGCATCTCTAGCAGGGAGGCCTGGGGGAGGGGAGCAGCTAGAGCTAAAACCTGAGGACAGCCGAAACCGGTGTGGCTCAGTGCATAGAGCGTCGGCCTGCGGACCGAAGGGTCCCGGGTTCGATTCCAGTCAAGGGCATGTACCTGGGTTGCAGGCACATCCCCAGTAGTGGGTGTGCAAAAGGCAGCTGATGGATGTTTCTCTCTCATCGATGCTTCTAGCTCTCCCTCCCTTCCTCTCTGTAAAAAATTGATAAAATTTATTTTTTTAATAAAAAACGAAAATGCAGAGATGAGCGAGGTGCAAACTAAGAGAAGGATTTGAAGGATGGTCTTTGGGGATGAGAGTGGCAGATGCAGAAGCCGGCCTGCAGAGTTCAAGACCAAAATGCCGAGTGAATGGAACAGCAGGTGTGGGTGCTGTGTCGGGCAGGGACAGACGGGGCAAACATTGGGTGTTGACTGGGAAACATAGAAGTGTGAGGGGAAAGCCTTTGTGTTCTCGAGATACTGGCCTTTGCAGCCTGTTTGAAAGCAGAGGGCAGGCCGGAGCGTGATTCGGCACGGACAGGTGGCAGAGAGAATCTGCAAGCCCTGGCTGGCTTGGCTCAGTGGATAGAGCGTTGGCCTGCGGACTGTAGAGTCCTAGGTTCGATTCCAGTCAGGGGCCACATGCCCAGGTTGCAGCCTCGATCCCTGGTGAGGGTGTGCAGAAGGCAGCCGATCCATGATTCTCTCTCATCAGGGATGTTTCTCTCCCTCTCCCTTCCTCTCTGAAATCAATAAAAAATATATTGAGAAAGAATCAGCAAGAAGGGACTGAGCCCTGGTGTAGTTATAATATTTATCGAGCTGCGTTTCAAGTAAAATGAGGCGGGTCCCATGTCTCAACAGGTGAGAGGGAAGAGACGAGGGATTTTGTAGCCAGTAGAGCTCAGTCTCCTAATTGTTCCTAAGAGTCCAGGACAGAAGCCCTCAGAAGCCAGGCGATTAAAAGATACAAAGCAGCCCTAGCCTGTGTGGTTCAGTGGATAGAGCGTCGGCCTGCGGACTGAAGGGTCCCAGGTTCGATTCCGGTCAAGGGCACGTACCTTGGTTGCAGGCACATCCTCAGTGGGGGGTGTGCAGGAGGCAGCTAGTCCATGTTTCTAGCTCTCTATCCCTCTCTTCCTCTGTATAAAAAAATCAATAAAATATTGGGTCGGCAACTAAGTAATTGCGGATTTTTTAAAAATCAAAGACAATTTTTTCATGGAACTAAATAACTTTATTCTGTAATGTATTGCCCATTTTGATCAATGACCTTTTGCCATCTTTCAGGCAGCATCATAATCCCACGTTCAAAAAACTTCTGGTTTTTATTAGCAAAAAACTGAATCAGGTACGATTTGACATCATCATCATTATTGAAATTTTTACCGTTCAAGGAGTTTTGTAAAGATCGAAACAAAAAGTAATCAGATGGTGCAAGGTCAGGACTATATGGTGGATGTGGCAAAACATCCCAACCATTAATTTTTGCCGAGTGACCAAAGATGTGTGTGGCCTTGCATTGTCATGATGGAATACAACACCTTTTCGATTTGTCAATTCGGGCCGCTTTTCTTCAACTGCATTGTTTAATTTCGTTAGTTGTTCAATGTAGACATCAGAATTGATCGTTCGGTTGGGTGGTAAGAGTTCAAAGTAGACAATTCCTTTGTAATCCCACCAAACTGATAACAAAACCTTCTTTTGATGAATATCAGCTTTTGATGTTGTTTGAGTTGGTTCACCTGGCCTGCTCCACGATCTTTTCCGCTTGATATTGTTGTAAACAACCCATTTTTCATCGCCAGTTATCAGTCATTTTAAAAATGGATCATTTTCATTACGTTTCTTTAGCAAATCGCAGCTGCTAATGCGTTGCGTTAACTGTGATTCTTTCAGTTCGTGAGGAACCCATGTATCGAGTTTTTGAACATAGCCAAGTTGTTTTAAGTGATTTTCAATGCATGTATGTGATACATGAAGCTTCTCTGCAATCTCACGTGTTGTACTGTGACAGTCCAAATTGATTATTGCTTTGATTAGGGCGTCATCAATTTCAACTGGACGACCAGAGCGTTTTTCATCTTTGAGTGAAAAATCACCAGAACGAAATTTGGCAAACCAATTTTGACACTGCCGTTCTTTTAAGGCTTCGTCACCATAAACAGCACATAACTTTTTATGAGCTTGCGATGCGTTTTTCCCTTTGCAGAAATAAAAAAGCAAAATATGACGAAAATGTTCCTTTTGATTTTCCATTTTTCAACGAACGCCAAACGAAAACTACAAAACAGATCAAAAACTTTTTTTACTGATTAACAGCTGAATAGCCAACTATCAAATAACAAAATGTGTTTTACATTTGTACTACGTCTGCAAACCTAAAAATTCAACTGAAGCCCATATATGTGTGAAACCCGCAATTACTTAGTTGCCGACCCAATATATTATTTAAAAAAAGATGTAAAGCAGCCCTAGCCCATTTGGCTCAGTGGATAGAGCATCAGCCTGCAGATTGAAGGGTCCCAGGTTCGATTCTGCTCAAGAGCACATGCCCAGTATGGGGAGTTCTGGAGGCAGCTGATCAATGATTCTCATCATTGATGTTCCTGTCTCTCTCTCCCTCTCCCTTCCTCTCTGAAATCAATTAAAAAAGAATAAAGATTAAAAATACAATTAAGCCAAAACCGGTTTGGTTCAGTGGATAGAGCATCGGCCTGCGGACTGAAAGGTCCCAGGTTCGATTCCAGTCAAGGGCATGTACCTTGGTTGCGGGCACATCTCCAGTGGGGGGTGTGCAGGAGGCAACTGATGGATGTTTCTCTCCCATTGATGTTTCTCTCTCTCCAGCTCCCTTTCTCTCTATAAAAAAATCAATAAAATATGTAATATATATATATATGTAATTAAAAAAAAACACGCACAGATGTAAAGCAGTCTGCCTGTGCTTCATGCAGCTTCTCTGTCAGCTGTGGGCTAAGCGTGTTCCCTGTTGCCAGAACGCAGTGTGGGAGCTGCATGAATTCAGGGTGGGACCGGGGCACCGAGTTTACCGGGAACTTCTTCCCCGCAGGAAGCGGAGCACCAGAGGGCCATGCAGAGACGCGCCATCCGCGATGCCAAAACCCCGGACAAAATGAAAAAGTCCAAGTCCGTCAAGGAGGACAGCAACCTCAGCCTGCAGGAGAAGAAGGACAAGATCCAGGCGGGCTTGAAGAAGCTCACGGAGCTGGGCACCGTGAACCCCAAGAACCGGTACCAGGAGCTCATCAACGACATCGCCAGGGTACTGACTGCCCGGGGACGGTGTGTGTGTGTGTGTGTGTGTGTGTGTGTGTGTGCTGGGCCAAGTTTCACCCTCTCCCAGAGGCTCTTAAAGAGACAGTAGCTATTCAGATGACAGCATGTCTTCAGTCCACGGCTTGCCAGTGTCCTTTGGCCGGAAGAATCGTTTCTGATTCTTCTAACGCGAGGGCCTGGCCTGCCCTTAGATAACTCATTTCAGAGCCTAAACTCCTAGGAAGAGGACAGAACTAGAGCTTCCCATGTCTCTCTCTGTCTCTGACCTCTTTGGAAGTTTCCAGATCTTTCTAATGATTTCTGTGAAACCTCAATAGACCTTGAGTTGATCATCAACTTCTTATCTTCTTCTTTCCTTCTTCTGACAACATGTTTAGAAGGCTTATCCAGCTTCGCATGTCCACTCTAAGAACGTGGGCGTCCATACAAGGAACGCATTTCCCCACCTTTAGAAAATACAAATGGGGGAGGGGGGATGGATGCGATCTGAGTTTCCTCGTTAATTATCGAACATGAATTGCTGCCTGTTAAGAATGGGTGGTCATCCCGAAACCTGTTTGGCTCAGTGGATAGAGCGTCGGCCTGCGGACTGAAAGGTCCCGGGTTCGATTCCAGTCAAGGGCATGGACCTTGGTTGCCAGCACATCCCCAGTAGGGGGTGTGCAAGAGGCAGCTGATCGATGTTTCTCTCTCATCGATGTTTCTAACTCTCTATTCCTCTCTCTTCCTCTCTGTAAAAAATCATTGAAATGATTAAACACCACTGGGTTCTACTGTTAATGATTCCAGGGGCACAAGATATTGGACATTGTTGTTTTGTATTGTTGTTGTTGTTTTTTCATTTTAATACTTGCATCCCCCCAGGATATCCGGAACCAGCGGCGATACCGGCAGAGGAGGAAGGCCGAGCTGGTGAAGCTGCAGCAGACGTACGCCGCCCTGAACTCCAAGGCCACGTTCTACGGGGAGCAGGTGGATTACTATAAGAGCTACATCAAAACCTGCCTGGACAACCTGGCCAGCAAGGGCAAGTGAGTGTTTCTCTTAAAGATTTATCCACGTCGGGGCGCGGGTTGAGGGTGTGTGTGGGGAGAGCCATAGAGGCAACTGAAGTGACATGGGGATTTTTTATTTTTTTTAATCCTCACCTGAGGACATTTTTCCATTGATTTTTTTCCCCCCAATATATTTTATTGACTTTTCTTACACAGAGGAAGGGAGAGGGATAGAGATTTAGAAACATCGATGAGAGAGAAACATCGATCAGCTCCCTCCTGCACACCCCCTCCTGGTTCATAGGTCAACACTCAACCACTGAACTATGCCATCTGGGCATCCCCAGTAACTTCCAATATCTGTTTCTTTTTCCTTGTTCCCATTCCTCTGTAATAGCTATGCAGGCTTAAACTCTTATTTTTTATTTTTGTTAAAAAAAATTTTTTTTAATGATTTCAGAGACAAAGAGAGAAGGGAGAGAGAGATAGAAACATCAATGTTGAGAGAAAATCACTGATCAGCGGCTTTCTGCACGCCCCCTTCTGGGGATCGAGCCCACAACCCACGCATGTGCCCTTACCGGAATCGAACCTGGGACACTTTAGTCCGAAGGTTGGCGCTCTATCCACTGAGCCAACCCGGTGAGGGCCAGGTTTAAATTCTTTAAAAAAGTACTTATTCTGAGATATTAACATTTCCCCCCTGCACAGCCGAGGAGTGTAGAGGGCCCCTCCTGGGGGTCAGTACAGCTCCCCAAGCTGGCATTAGGAGCCCTCACATAGGCTGAGAGGTTCGCATAGAAGGATGAAGACACTGTCAAACTCATGGTGTGCTGAAACCAATTTAGCTCAGTGGATAGAATGTGGCTTGTTGTCTGGAAAGCTCCCAGGTTCGATTCCCGTCAAGGGCATGTACCTTGGTTTTGGGCACATCCCCAGTAGGGGGCGTCCAAGAGGCAGCTGATTGATGATTCTCTCTCATAGAAGTTTCTGGCTCTCTATCCCTCTCTCTTCCTCTCTGTAAAAAATCAATAAATATATATTTTAAAAAATTCATGGTGTGTTCTCCAATGTAATTTAAACTAAAGACAAAATCAACCTCGTAATATTTCCCGTTTTGCAGCAACATTGCTTAGGCTAACCCTGATATTTATTTGCCATTTTAGAGTTGATGTTATTTACCGTTGTGTATGGGAAGTTTGTTTGTTTTCTGATCCCATATTTTCGAATTACCAATAGAATCAAAGTAGATAGTTATAGAAAGTGACATGAGCTGAAACCGGTGTGGCTCAGTGGATAGAGCGTCGGTCTGCGGACTGAAAGGTCCCAGGTTCGATTCCGGTCAAGGGCAGGGACCTTGGTTGCGGGCACATCCGCAGTGGAGGGGTGTGCAGGAGGCAGCTGATCATGATTCTCTCTCATCGATGTTTCTAACTCTCTATCCCTCTCTGTAAAAAATTAATAAAATATATTTAAAAAAAAAAAAAAAAAAAGAAAAGAAAAGAAAAGAAAAAAGAAAGTGACGTGATGTCATCTTACAGGGTCTCCAAGAAGCCCAGGGAAATGAAAGGGAAGAAAAGCAAAAAGATTTCTCTGAAGTACACGGCAGCGAGATTACATGAAAAGGGGGTTCTTCTGGAAATTGAGGACCTCCAAGTGAATCAGTAAGTATTTGCCTTTTAACTTTATTTTGTACGTTGATTTTTTAAAAATTTATCCATTTACTCATTTATTTTTAATTGATCACATCTTTATATGATTGCCTTTATTTCTCTTAGCGGGATGATCATTTTAATAATTTTTTTTTAATCTATTTATGTGTATGTATGTGCAGAATGAGACCCAGTACTGTGTTAATTGTCTGTTATCAGCAGGAAGTATTTCTTTTCCTTGTTTGTGGAACACTTGTCTCGGGACATTTTCACACCTGCTGTGTGGATCCCGTTTTAATTTTTCCTCTTTAAAACAGGAAGCCATTTCTTCCATTTCTTCTGTTTCCAAACAAAGATAACGTGTAAAACTGAGTCTCTGGCCCTCTTCCGCTCTCCCCTCTCCTTCCTCTGTCTCTCTAAAAAACACACAAACAAACAACTAATAAAAATATTTAAAAACAAACAACAAGAAAAAAACCCTGAGACTCTGAACCCATTAAATAATTTATTCTAATTTCTAAGCACCAGGCAGCCACCATCCTGCCTTTCTGTCTTATTTTTTCTATTTTTTTGTGAATGACTTATTCACTTACCATGCTGTCCTCACAGGCCATCCATGTTTAACCTGTGACATGTCCTTCCTTTAAAAAAAAAAAATATATAAATATATATATTTTATTGAATTTTTACAGAGAGGAAGGGAGAGGGATAGAGGAATAGAAACCTTGATGAGAGAGAATCATCGACCAGTTGCATCCTGCACGCCCCCTACCAGGGATGTGCCTGCAACCAATGTACATGCCCTTGACTGGAATTGAACCCGGGACCTTTCAGTCCACAGGCCGACGCTCTATCCACTGAGCCAAACCGGTTTCGGCGTCCTTCCTTTTTAAAGCTGAATAATTCTCCATTGTGTATATAAACCACATTTTGTTTATTCACCCATCCATCGATGGCCATTTGGGCTGTTCCCACCTCTCTGCTATTGTGAATAATGCTGCCATGAACATGAAAGTGGAAATGCCTCTTTGAGATTCTGCTTCCAATTCTTTTGGATAAATAAACAGAAGTGGGATTGCTAGACCATTAGATAGTTACGTTTTTTGAGGAACTGACATACTGTTGTTTCCATTGAAAAATTTTTTAACTTTTTTATCTATTACCAAAATATTTTTCACTTGTGCCGAAACCGGTTTGGCTCAGTGGATAGAGCATCCGTCTTTGGACTGATGGGTCCCGGGTTCGATTCCGGTTAAGGGCATGTACTTGGTTGTGGGTACATCCCTAGTAGGGGGTGTGCAAGAGGCAGCTGATCGATGACTCTCTCTCATTGATGTTTCTAACTCTCTATCTCTCTCCCTTCCTCTCTGTACAAAATCAATAAAATATATTTTAAAAAAAAGAATCTCATTTTAAAGTTTTGCATTTCTTTGAATTCTGTGTGTGTGTGTGTAAAACGTGGCCTATTGTCTGGGTTCTCTCTGGTCATTGTTTCAATTGGGGATCTTGGTCTTTTGGGGGTTTTTTTGGTTGGGTACTTTATGCATTTTTCGTTTCATAATATTTATTTCTTCTCTTTTTTCTTCATCATTTCCCACTATTGTTCAAGTGCCTGCCATTATTTGCCTCTCTTTCTTCTTTTTAATTTGCTGCTATGGGCTTAGACACAATATAACAAAAGAAGTCAGTTAAAATAAAATTGTCACATCAAATAAATATCTTTTTAAAAAATATATATTTTTATTGATTTTTTACAGAGAGGAAGGGAGAGGGATAGAGAGTTAGAAACATCGATGAGAGAGAAACATCAACCAGCTGCCTCCTGCACCCCCCCACCGGGGATGTGCCCGCAACCAATGTACATGCCCTTGACCGGGATCGAACCTGGGACCCTTCAGTCTGCAGACCGATGCTCTACCACTGAGCCAAACCGGTTTCGGCAAATAAATATCTTAAGAAATGCTCTGTGAGGCTCTCCTGTTGAGTAAAATGCATGTGTTTTTGGGCCTGGATTTTGTGACCTCTCTCAGACTCTCAATCCCTCTTTTTTTGTTTGTTTGTTTGTTTTGTTTTTTAGTATTTTTTTAATACATTTTTTAAAATTGATTTCAGAGAGGAAGGGAGAGGGAGAGAACGATAGAAACATCCATGATGAGAGAGAATCACGGATCGGCTGCCTCCTGCACGCCCTCCCCTGGGGATTGAGCCCGCAACACAGGCACATGTCCTTGACCAGAATCAAATCTAAGATGCCTCATTCCACAGGCCGGTGCTCTGCCCACTGAGCCAAACCGTCCCCGGGCGCTTCTTCCAGTTTGAAACACGTGTGCGTTCTCACACACCCTCTGGCCGCCTCTCCTTCCAGGCCAGCTTGCGCTTGATTCTCCTTCTTCCCAGGTTTCCACAGTGGCCACAGTGGTTGCAGGTTTCCACGGGCCCAGCGCATTCCTCTGACATCACCCCCTTCGAGGCCATTGGCGGCATTCCTCAGGGGCTCCTTTTTCAGTAGCCGAAACCGGTGTGGCTCGGTGGATAGAGCATCAGCCTGCGGACTGAAGGTCCCAGGTTCGATTCCGGTCAAGGGCCTGTACCTTGGTTGCAGGCACATCCCCAGTACGGGGTGTGCAAGAGGCAGCTGATTGATGATTCTCTCTCATCGATGTTTCTAACTCTCTATCCCTCTCTCTTCCTCTCTGTAAAAAACAAAACAAAACAAAAAACACAAACCAATAAAATATATTTTTTTAAAAAAAAGAAAGAAGAAAGAAAGAAAGAGAACTCCAGGGGTTCTGGGAGGGGTGGGGGAGGAATGCCATTCTTCTCTCCAAACCCAAAACCTTCCTTCGCGGTTTCACCTCTAGACATCCTGGGACCTTGACCTTGTCCCCCTGTGCCACTCCCGAAGTCACTGTCCACCCCCTCCTTTGCATTTATTTCATGGGATATTTTTATAGGAGGACATTAAAAAAGTCACCCCCTCTGATGTTATGTTCCAACAGGTTTAAGAATGTTATCTTTGAAATCACTCCAACCGAAGAAGTGGGTGACTTTGAAGTGAAAGCCAAGTTCATGGGTGTCCAGATGGAGACGTTCATGCTGCATTACCAGGTGGGTGTGCGCCTGGCGGAGCCGGAGCCCTGCGTCTGGGGTGGTCGGGTCCTCGGCCAGGCCAGAGTAGCGGCAGGCAGGAGGCCCCCTCGAGAACGCGGCCCGTGTGTGTGTGTGTGTGTGTGTGTGTGTGCATGTGTGTGTGTGTCTGTGTGTGGCGGCGGGGAGAGGCTCCGGGCCAGGTGGCTGTGTGGTGTGTGTGTGTGTCGGTGTGTGTGTGTGTGTGTGTGTGTGTGTGATGTGTGTGTGTGTGTGTGTGTTTGTGTGTCTGTGTGTGGCGGTGGGGAGAGGCTCCGGGCCAGGTTGCTGTGTGGTGTGTGTGTGTGTCGGTGTGTGTGTGATGTGTGTGTGTGTCTGTGTGTGTGTGATGTGTGTGATGTGTGTGTGTGTGTGTGTGTGTCTGTGTGTGTGTGTGTGATGTGTGTGTGTGTGTGTCTGTGTGTGGCGGCCGAGAGAGGCGCCGGGCCCGGTTGCTGTGTGGTGTGTGTGTGTGATGTGTGTGATGTGTGTGATGTGTGTGTGTGTGTGTGTGTGTGTGTGTGATGTGTGTGTGTGATGTGTGTGTGTGATGTGTGATGTGTGTGTCTGTGTCTGTGTGTGTGTGATGTGTGTGTGTGATGTGTGTGTGATGTGTGTGTGTGTGTCTGTGTGTGTCTGTGTGTGTGTGATGTGTGTGTGTGTGTGTGTGTCTGTGTGTGTGTGATGTGTGTGTGTGTGTGTGTGTGTGTCTGTGTGTGTGTCTGTGTGTGGCGGCCGAGAGAGGCGCCGGGCCCGGTTGCTGTGTGGTGTGTGTGTGTGATGTGTGTGATGTGTGTGTGTGTGTGTGTGTGTGTGTGTGTGTGATGTGTGTGTGTGATGTGTGTGTGTGATGTGTGATGTGTGATGTGTGTGAGTGTGTCTGTGTGTGTGTGATGTGTGTGTGTGATGTGTGTGTGTGTGTCTGTGTGTGTCTGTGTGTGTGTGCTGTGTGTGTGATGTGTGTGTGTGATGTGTGTGTGTGTGTGTGTGTGTGTGTGTGTGTGTGTCTGTGTGTGGCGGGGAGAGGCGCCGGGCCCGGTTGCTGTGTGATGTGGTCTGGGCGCCCGGGGCCGTGGGCACCCTCAGAGAGACGCTCCCAAAGCTCCTGTCCGTGTGGCCACTTGGCGGGGCTGATACCTTGGACGCGAACAAAAGGCCTAAGTGTAAGCCCGGACAGTGCACAGTTGTAAGCCTCCTCGGGTGCTTTTTTCACTTTTCGTTTTTAATCTAATTTTTAAAAATCTATTTTATTGATTTTTTTTACAGAGAGGAAGGGAGAGGGATAGAGAGTTAGAAACATCGATGAGAGAGAAACATCCATCAGCTGCCTCCTGCACGCCCCCCACTGGGGATGTGCCCGCAACCAAGGTACATGCCCTTGACCGGAATCAAACCCGGGACCTTTCAGTCCGCAGGCCAACGCTCTATCCACTGAGCTACACCGGTTTTGGCTTAATCTAAATTTTTTTTTATGTATTTTTAAAAGATTCTGATTTGGCAAAGGTGCTTAAAAGAGTATTTCTAACAAGATGTGCATAAATTGCATCTCTGTGAACTGAATCCTTTTTAAAAATTTTTATTCTTCACCCAAGGATTTTTCCCATTGATTTCTTAAAGAGAGGGAAAGAGAGAGAAACATCGATGTGAGAGAAACACACATCGATTGGCTGCCTCCTGCATGAGCCCCAACCAGGGACCAGGCCTGGGAGGAGCCTGTAACCAAGGTACATGCCCTTGACCGGAATCGAACCCAGGACCACTTGGTCCACAGGCTGATGCTCTGTCCACTGAGCCAAACTGGATAGGGCTATTTATTTTTTAAATATGTTTTTATGGATTTTTTTTTTTTTTTCGAGAGAGAGGAAAGGAGAGGGATCGATGGAAAAATCAATGATAGAGAAACATCAGTGATCAGTTACCCCCTACAGGGGATTGAGCCAGTAACCTGGTCATGTGCCCTGATCAGGAATTGAACTGGGTCAGGCCGGAGCTCTATCCACTGAGCCAAACCGGTTAGGGCTATATTTCTTTATTGATTTCAGAGAGGGAGGGAGAGGGAGAGAGAGAGAGAGAAGCATCAATGACGAGAAAGAATCATGGATCGCCTGCCTCCTGCACGCCCCCCCAACTGGCGATCGAGCCCGAAACCCAGGCATGTGCCCTTGGCCAGAATCGAACCCGGGGCCCTTCAGTCCCCAGGCCGACGCTCTATCCACTGAGCCACATCCTTTCTCTCCCGTCCCACAGCCCCGATTCACTGTCAAGGCGTTTCTCTCCCAACAGGACCTGCTGCAGCTGCAGTACGAGGGCGTGGCCGTCATGAAGCTGTTTGACCGAGCGAAAGTGAACGTCAACCTCCTCATCTTCCTCCTCAACAAGAAGTTCTACGGGAAGTAACGGACCCCGGGCTGCCAGCCCCGGAGGAGGAGGGACCGAAGCCCTCCCCCGGCCCCTCCTCGCCGCTGGCAGCGCCCCTCCGCTGGGTGCCCGCCCAGGGCCACCTCGTGCCCCCAGCCCCGGCCGGCCCCGGGCAGCAGCCCTGGTTTTCCCAGTGAGATCTCAGGCTCAGCCTGACCCCTCCTGCTCCTTCGTTTTCTCCTGTCACTTTGGGGACTTTGCTTAAAATCTCTCGGTGTGGTTTTGGCCTCAGAGGTTGCATTGCTATCTGATCAGCTTCGGTGTTTTGTCTCGTTCAGCAATATTAACGGTGGGATTTGAAATCTCGTGATTTGAAAGGGAACGCTTATTAGCACCAAAGACAGACACGCACAGACGACACGCAGTGGAAAAGGCCAAGCGATGCATCCTATCAGGTTGTCCTTTAAAAGCGAAGTTCCTTTATGTTCTTGTCCCGTCCGTCAAGTTGAAGGACGCGGGAGGTGGTTAGTCCTCCTCCATTCTGTGTCTCATTATGGGCTGGAAATAATTAATAATAAGAGTCACGTGCCTGTGTTCAAGGCAAGCATTTCCAGAAAGAGGAGATTTAAAAAAAATTATACAAGAAAGAAAGGGGGAGATAAAAAGAAAAAGGAATGGGAGATCATGCTTTTAAGTTTCGCCATTAAAATAAATTTTGACGGTTCTGTTTGTGTAACTCTCTTGCAGATGGGAGAGTCCCACGGATCAAGTGCAGCTATTTAGGTAGATTTTTAGGGTGTCCTGAGACGTCCCCTCCTGGGTGAGGTGCCTGCTCGCTTGTTGCAGAAATGGACGAGATTTTGGGACAACCAGGTCCCCTCCCTGCCTATGGCAGAGGGAGAGGTTAGCCCGGCATAGGATGTAATTTTTTCAAGACCCTTTTATATCTCAAGAGTGCTTATTAAAGTGTAGATTTATTTCTTCAGATGTGGGGGGGCAGGAATTTTAAAGTCTTATATAATGCTTTAAAGTCTTTAGAATACTCTATAGAAAGGTGTTTTTTTTTTTGTTGTTGTTTGTTTGTTTTTAATTGGCTTATCTGTATATCTGAAATCTTCAAACTTTTCTTAGAGCTAAAACACTAGGATTTTTTTACCTGCAGGGTCGCAGAGAGATAATCCTGTTTTAAATAGACTGAAAAAAAAATTATAACAAGCCAGCCAGCGATGGCACAGTTGATATTCCAATCTGCTTTTTCCCTCTTCTTTCTCTTTTCTCTTGCTGCCCACACCGCTTTCATGTCCTGAACTCTTGTTTTCTGGATGTAGTAAAAATTCAATTCTGAACATTGAATTTTTTAGGAAGTTTTTATTAGAGAAAAAGCTACATACTTTTTTTTTTTTTTTTTAAAGAGAATTCGTTTATCCAGGAAAGTACATTAAATCATGCTGCTGAGCCTCCATTTTCTCTGATGTTTGGGTTCAGTATTCTTTTATCATGACATAAACCGTAATAAAAATTAACTAACTTTAAAAAAAAAATCTAACCAATGTATATTTAAAAGCAATAAACTGTTTTGTTAATAACGATCTATGTGCTGTGTCCCTGTCGCAGATGTACGTGTTGGAGCCGTGTGTGTTTTTTATTTGGTCACAGACTGTTGACTGGGTCAGGTCCATGTCAGCACATGTAAACTGTGTGAGTCTTGACCCCCTCCAGGCAGCCCACAGGCAGGCGGGCAGGGACCGTGGGAAGGGCCTTCGACAGGAGAGTCTGCCACCTCGACCTTGTTTTTATTGTTTTTTGCAAGATAACTGCTTAGTCAATACCGTCCTCGGTTTAAAAAAAGATGCTATCAGCCGGGACCGGTTTGGCTCAATGGATAAAGCGTCGGCTTGGGGACTGAAAGGTCCCGGGTTTGATTCCGGTCAAGGGCATGTACCTTGGTTGCGGGCATATCCCCAGTGGGGGGTGTGCAGGGGGCAGCTAATTGATGACTCTCTTTCATCGATGTTTCTAACTATCTCTCTCCCTTCCTCTCTGTACAAAATCAATAAAATATATTAAAACAAACAAACAAAAAAAAGATGCTATCAAACAAGTAGCATCGCCTCCAAAACTGGGACCAGCCAAAGTGTCAGCCCAGTCTAAACCGGTTTGGCTCAGTGGATAGAGCGTCGGCCGGCGGACCAAAAGTCCCAGGTTCGATTCCAGTCAAGGGCATGTGGTTGCGGGCACATCCCCAGTGGGGGGTGTGCAGGAGGCAGCTGATGGATGTTTCTCTCTCATCGATGTTTCTAACTCTCTAACCCTCTCTCTTCCACTCTGTAAAAAAATCAATAAAATATATTTAAAAGAAAAAGAAAAGTCCTGGACAAACCCAATGACAGCTCTGATTACCTTTTCTGTTTGCTCCACAGTCTCTTCTGTCAGGTCTCTCTCCCCCTCTGACCTTCTCTCCCTCCAGCCATCATGACATTCACTGGGGACGTACTCCCTCCCAAGAATGTGGACCGCGCAGCAGATCAGGGCTCTACACAATTGCCTTTGTATCTTTGTATGAAATAAAAGGTCATTTGTTGGTGTTTGTGTTTATTTTTCTCATTGTTAGCAGTTCCTGCTCAACAGAGTGTTGATTAGAGACTTAATAATGGAAAACAAACCCTTTATGGTCTTTGGAAGGAGCAAACACAAGTCAGCTACCAAATCACTGAATTATCTCAGAGAGACTTTTTAAAAATATATATATTTTATTGATTTTTTTATTGGCAAGGGAGAGGGATAGGATAGATAGTTAAAAACACCAATCAGCTGCCTCCTGCACACACCCCCATTGGGATATGCCCGCAACCAAGGTACATGCCCTTGACTGGAATCGAACCTGGGACCCTTGAGTCACAGGCCGACGCTCTATCCATTGAGCCAAACCTGCTAAGGCTCAAAGAGATTTTTTAACATGTGAATAGCCTTCTTTAAAGTAAAATGCTTAAAGTAGCCTCAACATAAAAAGAAATTAGGGGGTGGGGAAAATAAACATTACTAAGTTCTGATTGAATAGTGGCTGAAAGTCTAAAATTGCAGCTGCATTTAACGAAAGTGACAATCCTATATAGTTAAAGGGTAATATGCAAATCGACTGAAGGGTGGAACTGCTGGTCGCCATGATGGACACTGACCACCAGAGGGCAGATCTTCACCAGCACTAAGGATCTCCTGACAGATGTGGAATTTTAAAAATATATTTATTAATTGATTTCAGGGAGCAAAGGAGGAGGAGAGATAGAAACATCAATCATGAGAGAGTCATTGATTGGCTGCCTCCTGCACACCCACTCTGGGGATTAAGCTCAAAACCCAGTCACGTGCCCTGACCAAGAATCAAACCATGACCTCCTGGTTCATAGGTTGACATTCAACCACTGAGCCACACCAGCCAGGTTGCAGTGACTATTGGTGGCCTGGTTCTGCAGGATGGCTCTCAAAGTCCTGCCTGAATGTTCACCTTGGAGTCTGCTTCTTTAGTTCCGCCACCCCCTAATAAGCCCTTAAGCCATTTTATGCCCTGTAATAATCTTTTTGTACTTAAACTATGTGGAATGAATTTTAAAAAAAATATATATATATATATATATATATATATATTATATATATAATTAAAATATATATATATAATATATATATATATTTTATTGATTTTTTACAGAGAGGAAGAGAGAGGGGATAGAGAATTAGAAACATAGATGAGAGAGAATCATCGATCAGCTGCCTCCTGCACACCCCCCATTGGGAATGTGCCTGCAGCCAAGGTACATGCCCTTGATCGGAATTGAACCCAAGACCTTTCAGTCCGCAGGCCGACGCTCTATCCACTGAGCTAAACGGGTTTGGGCTGCGGAATGAATTTTGTTCTCTAAAAATGAACCCAGACAATATAACAGGAAATCAGAAAATAAAATATAAAAAACATGGTAAACAGCACAAAATGAAACAGAAGAAATCAATTGTAATTTTTAAAAACTAAACTCCAGCTAATAGAGTTATGTTGTCACATTAAACAGTCTAAAAAAATCCAGCTAGGTACTGTATATGAGAGACATGAAAAACATAAATACTGCACAGTAGTTAAAACAGATAAATCTTAAAAAAAAAAAAATGAAAAAAGCTGACCCCTCAGGTGTGGCTCAGAGGTTGAGTGTCGACATATGAACCAGGAGATCAAGGTTGGATACCTGGACAGGGCACATGCCTGGGTTGTGGGCTCTATCCCCAGTAGGGGGCGTGCAGGAGGCAGCCCTTTATTGATTAAAATATCACATATTTGTCCTCATCCCCCTTCCCCCGTTCCCATCCCACACCCCTCCCCACGCATGCCACCACCTCCCTGTTGTCCGTGATCACTGGTTAGGCTCATATGCATGCACACAAGTCCTTTGGTTGATCTCTCCCTTTTTAAAAAAATATATATTTTATTGATTTTTTTACAGAGAGGAAGAGAGAGGGACAGAGTTAGAAACATCGATGAGAGAGAATCACCCATCAGCTGCCTCTGGGGATGTGCCGGCAACCAAGGTACATGCCCTTGACCGGAATCGAACCTGGGACCATTGAGTCTGCAGGCCAACGCTCTATCCACTGAGCCAAACCGGTTTCGGCTGATCTCTCCCTTTTATCCCCACCATCCCCATCCTCCCTCTGAGCTCCGACAGTCTGGTCCATGCCTCCTTGTCTCTGGGTCTGTTCTTGTTCATCAGTCTATGTTGTTCACCATTTCCCCCAGATGTGTGAGATCATGCCCTACTGGAAATACACTTACAAGAACCAAAAAGGAGACAAGCTATAATGGTTATAACTTGTCATTTTTGTAAGATTTAAGAACAAAAATTGGCATTCCATACGCAGTGGGTAGGCCCATACATCCGATGTAATAAACGTATAAAAAAAAACCATGAAGAGAAATGAACTGAAATGCACTCACTTGAACACAGGGACTATCTCTAGGGAGGATGCAGAGTGATGAAGGGTGGGGCCTGAGCTGTTCTAATTTTGTATTTCTTTGCTAAATACCAAGTGAGTGAAGCAAAATGTTTTGATATGTCTCATCTTGATGGCGGAGGGCGTGGGTTGTTCATGTTTTCTGCACTCGGAGGCATGCCATGTGTAAAACAGACATGCCCGGGACATCTTTTTTAAAAAAATATATTTTATTGATTTTTTTACAGAGAGGAATAGAGAGAAACATCGAAGAGAGAGAATCATCGATCACCTGCCTCTTGCCCTTCCCTCGCTGGGGATGTTCCCGAAACCAAGGTACATGCCCTTGACCGGAATTGAACCTGGGACCTTTCAGTCTGCAGGCCAACGCTCTATCCACTGAGCCACACATCCTTATGCACATCAGCATGGACATTGAAGTGGCTTCTGAGATGCTAAAAACTCCGGAGGCCCGCAGGCTGGTTCGAAAGGATGACACTCGGGCTGGATGGAGCCAGCGTTGGCAGAGGCTGCAGGGAGACGTGGCAAGAACCCGAGAAAGGAGCCTGCGCTGAGGACGGAAGAGGTTGCACCAGGGCGTGGGATAGGGTGTCGCAAGTCCGTGCAAATCAGGAGATGGTTTTAAAAAAGATCCGGATTAAGTAACTTGCTTGGACTGGGGTGGGCCTGAGCAGACTGTCAGTGAAAAAAACGAATCTCAGGAGGGAGCGAGCTGGGAGCCAGAGGGCCGCCGTGGTATGAGACCTAAAGGAGAGAATGGCTCCAACTGCAGTCACGCCAGGAAGTAAACCATCCTACTTTTGGGGGAGAAGGGTGTTAAATGTGTTCTAAAATTGTAACGTAGCCGAAACCGGTGTGGCTCAGAGGATAGAGCGAATGTCTGCGGACTGAAGGATCCCAGGTTTGATTCCGGTCAAGCTCATGTACCTTAGTTGCGGGCACATCCCCAGTAAGAGGTGTGCAGGAGGCAGCTGATGGATGCTTCTAGCTCTCTATTCTTCTCTCTCTCTCTGTAAAAAAATCAATAAAATATATTTTAAAAAATAAAATAAAATTGTAACGTCAATACAGAAGCCAGGCTGTCCCCAAATTGCAGCATTTCCAGTGAAATAGTAGGCTCGGCCGAGGCCGGTTCGGCTCAGTGGATAGAGCGTCGGCCTGCGGACTGAAGGGTCCCAGGTTTTATTCTAGTTAAGGGCATGTACTTGGGTTGCGGGAACATTCCCAGTGAGAGGTGTGCAGGAGGCAGCTGATGGATGTTTCTCTCTCATTGATTCTGACTCTCTATCCCTCTCTCTTCCTCTCTGTAAAAAACCAATAAAATATATTTAAAAAAAATAGTAGGCTCGCTTCTCCCGCACCCATGGGGTCCGTTTGCTTTGCTGATGGGGGTTTCCTCTGGTTGCAGCGCAGTGCGGAGCCTGCAGAAGCCTGGGTTCCGCTCCGGGTCGGTGGGCGTGGCCTCGCAAATGGGGGCGTGACCTAAGAAGAGGCACGGGGCGGGGCTTGGCGGCGTGGGGGCGGGACCTGTCGACGTGGGGCGGGGCCTGGGCGGGGCCAGCGCGCAGGGGCAGACCTCGCGCGCTCCCGGCCGCTCGCTGGCTCTGGGGCCGCGGCGGCTCCTCAGCGGGGTCGCGCCGGAGGAAGGCCCTCGGGCGGCCTGCGGACTGACAGACGGACCGACCGACCGACCGACGGGTGTGGGCCGAGCCGCCAGGCCCCCGCGCCCGCCGTCTCCACTCTGCCAACGCCGGGCCGCGCTATGGCCTCTTCGCCGGGCTCGGGCAGCGCCAACCCGCGGAAGTTCAGTGAGAAGATCGCGCTGCACACGCAGCGCCAGGCCGAGGAGACGCGGGCCTTCGAGCAGCTCATGACGGACCTCACCCTGTCGCGGGTGAGGAGGGCCGGGCCGGGGCGGGCGGGGGCGGCCCGGCGGCGGGGGAGAGGCTGCGGGCCTGAGGCGGCCGCGGGGTCGGGCCGGGGCGGCGCCCGGGAGCGGGAGCGGGGCCGGCGGCGGCCGCGGCCTCGGCGCTTCCCCGCTTTCCGACGCCCCGCGCGCCGCGGAGGCGGGAGGTGGCGGGGCCGGGCTTTTGCGGGGAGACGAGCCGGGACCGCGCGGGGGAGGCTGAGCCGGAGCCCCGGGAGGAAATGCAATGCGGCCTCGAGCCGCTCCGATCGAGCCCCCCGGGACGTCGGGGCGTCGGGGCGCGGGCCCCGGAGTCCCCCCTCCATCCCCCCCGCCTCCCTCCGGGGCGCCCCGCTCGGGGCCGGGCTCCTGGGGTCTGGGTGCCGCCTCCGGGCCGGCCCAGCGGGTTCATCGCGGGCGCCTCACGCGGGCGGGCAAGGTGCACCCCGGCGTGGCCAGGGACCGAGCGGGGTCCTGGAGGAGCGAGCGAGGCCCGAGTGGGAAAACACCCGGCGGGATTGAGCAACTGGGGAGGGCGGCCGGGAGGATGGAGAGCCGGGCTGCGGGCAGGGCGCGAGCTGGGGACGGAAGAGGAGGAGGAGGAGGAGGAGGAGGAGGAGGAGGAGGAGGAGGAGGAGGAGGAGGTTGTTCAGGTCTGGAGGGACCTGATGCTGACCTTGAGGGACCCTCGGACCCTCGAGGGGATGGAGGAGGATACAGATGCTGTGGGGCGGGGAGACGCCCTGAAGGCGGGCTGAGTGCAGTGTTGCAAACCGGTGGTCCAGCTCCCTGAGCTGCAGACACCTTATTTTTTTTAAAGTACATAATATATATATATATAATTTTATTTTATTGATTTTTTACAGAGAGGAAGGGAGAGGGACAGAGAGTTAGAAACATCTATGAGAGAGAATCATCAACCAGCTGCCTCCTGCACACCTCCCACTGGGGATGTGCCTGCAGCCAATGTACATGTCCTTGATGGGAATGGAACCCGGGACGCCCTCATTCCGCAGGCCGATGCTTTATCCACTGAGCCAAACCGATTTCGGCTGTTGCCAGAATTTTTTAATTGGAAGGTCTTTGCAGAAAACCAACGTTTTTCACAGAAAATTGATTTGTGCATTTCTGTATAAAATATGTATGTATTTCTATACATATAAAGTATTTAAGTATAGATACATATATGATATAGTATTATATATATATACGTTTAAAATTGGGAGGCATCCATCCTGAATTCCCATGTGACAGCTAGTGGCTGGAGCTGGGTGGCTGCCCCCCTCGAATGGAGCGTTGAGTTCTCTTAATTGGCCACAGTTCACACCACTCACTGTTGTGACCCTCCACCGAGGCTAGGTATCACGTGGCCAGTTATCAATAAAAACACTTTTATTGATTTTTAGAGAGAGAGAGAGGAAGGGAGAGGGAGAAAGAGATAGAAGCATCAATGATGAGAGAGCATAGTTGATCGGCTCCCTCCTGCACACCCCACACGGGGAATCGCCTGCAACCTGGGCGTGTGCTCTGACCAGGAATCGAACCGGTGACCTCTTGGTTTAATGGTCCACGCCCAACCACTGAACCACACTGGCCGGGTGCCAATTATCATATTTTTTAAAGTGCTTCCTTTTAGTGAAGCTAGGGGGAAATTTTTTCTTATATTTAGATTTCTGTCACACTCGGAAATATGTGGATAAAAGCAGGCTGAGGATTTCAAGAAATTTTTTTTTCTCATGCCTTGACTCACTTCATTCTTTTAGTACCTGCCCGGTGTCCACAGGCATTTACCCGTGACCTTGGTTGGATGCAGGGATGAGCATGACAAGCTCAGAGCACACTGAGGAGAATGGGTAGAAGTTGAGGGGTTTCTTGCTGGGGTCTATTTCCTTTTGTGTTTTTTAGGTACATGAATTACGTATGTATAGGTACATGCATTCTCTATGACTATGTATGTACCTGGAGTTTATCCAGTTTCTCACCCTTTTAAAACATCCCTGAAGCCGAAACCGGTTTGGTGGATAGAGCGCCGGCCTGCAGACTGAAAGGTCCCAGGTTCGATTTCGGTCAAGGGCATGTACCTTGGTTGCGGGTACATCCCCAGTAGGAGGTGAGCAAGAGTCCACTGATTGATGATATTCTCTTTCATCGATGTTTCTAACTCTCTATCCCGCTCTCTTCCTCTCTGTAAAAAATCAATAAGATATATTTAAAAAAAAAATAATTCCTGAAGCTATTAGTAAGATACAGACTTTCTTTTTATTTTTTAATACTAGAGGCCCAGTGCACAGAATTTGTGCACTGTAGGTGGGTGATCCCTCAGCCCAGCCTGTGCCCTCTTGCAGTTTGGGACCCTTTGCTTCTTACCACCCGCTGGCTTGCTGCTCCTTAGCGCTGCCTCAGAGGTGGGAGAGGTTCCCGCCACCACCACTGTGCTCGCCGGCCGCTGGCCTGGCTTCTGTCTGAGCAGCGTTCCCCCTGCGGGAGCGCACTGACCACCAGGGGGCAGCTCCTGCATTGAGTGTCTGCGCCCTGGTGGTCAGTGAGCATCATAGCCACCGGTTGTTCTGGTGGATCCGCCTTAACGGTCACATAGGCTTTTATTATATACGTAGATATTTCTATTGACTTCAGAGAGGAAGGGAGAGGGAGAGAGAGATAGAAGCATCAGTGATAAGAGAGAATCATTGATCGGCTGCCTCCTGCACACCCCACAGTGGGAATTGCCTGCAACCCCGGGCATGTGCCCTTGCCCGGAATTAAACCTGGGACCCTTCGGTCCGCAGTCCGACGCTCTATCCACTGAGCCGAACTATCTAGGGCTAGACCTTTTAAAAAAACATTTTATCGATTTTTTTTACAGAGAGGAAGTGAGAGGGAAAGAGAGTTAGAAACATCGATGAGAGAGAATCATCCATCAGCTGCCTCCTGCACACCTCCTCTTGGTGATGTGCCCGCAACCCAGGTACATGCCCCTGACCGGAATCGAACCTGGGACCTTTCATTCCGCAGGTCGATGCTCCATCCACTGGGCCAAACCGGTTAGGCTAGAGCTAGCCTTTTTTTAAAGGCAGAATTTTTCACAGATCCTCAGTGTTCACTTAAATGAGTTTGATGTTGTCACTCAAAAATGTTCAAACATAAACCTGTATATAATGTTCTTTGCTTAGAGCTGCGATACAACCAGAGTCAGGATTCGGGACTTGATCTCTTTATCTTAAGGACCATGGAGAGTCATTGAAGGGGTTGAACCAGGGGAGCTTAGCATTTTCAAAGAATGCCTCCAGCTCCAGATTGGCGGAAAGAACAAAGGAGCAGGTGGCAGAGGCACTGGAGGTTGTAGTACTGTCCTAGGAGGTGTGCCAGTGGCATGGACTGGGTGGTAGCAACAGGGAGGCAGAGAGGTGAACAGATTGGTACCTAGGAGGTTGGAAGTTCAGCCTTAGTGAATTTTCGAGGGGGAGGGAGGACTCACGGATGAGCCCCCGCTTCCAGACTTGAGCCATTTCAGGGTCTCCTCCATTAAGAGGGGGAGCACTGGCAGGAGCAATTTGGGAGCAGACTCCTCAGTTTGATGCCTGGCCAGCAAGGCTCGGTGGTTGAACGTTGACCCATGAGCCAGAAGGTCATGGTTCGATCCCCAATCAGGGCACATGCCTGGGTTGTGGGCTCAGTCCCTGGTGGGGGGCATGCAGGAGGCAGCCGATCAGTGATTCTCTCTCATCATTGATGTTTCTCTCTCCCTCCCTCCCTCTCTGAAACCAATAGAAATATATTTTGAAAAGAGAGAGAGATGCTGAGTTTGAGGTGCCTGTGGGGCATGTGAGTAGTGAGGGTCCAGCTAAGTAGTCCTGGAGCTCAGGAGGGAGGTCCTGGCTAGAGAGATAAACGTGGGAATCTTCGTAGCTTCAGCTGCCGGGGAAGAATTTCTAGGATAGATCTTTCCAGTTGGTGGCCTAAATTTTAACTTGGTTCTCTGACATGTTTGTAATTTGGTTGGGGTGCCCAAATGTGTTTTTTCACCCAAAAAATTAGGGCCAACAATGATTATTGAGATCTTCCATTAAAATATGGACTTTGGCCCGGCCAGGGTGGCTCAGTGATTCAGTGTCTACCTATAAATCAGGAGGTCTCGGTTCATTTCCTGGTCAGGGCACATGCCTAGGTTTTGGGCTCAGTCCCCAGTGTGGGGACGTGTAGGAGGCAGCGGATCAATGATTCTCTCTCATCATTGATGTTTCTAGCTCTCCCTCTCCCTTACTCTTTGAAATCAATAAAAATTAAATAAACGCAGCATGCAAAAAAAAAAATATGGATTTTGGCCTCTTGAAAAAATGAGATTTATCTAACAACACTCATCCTACATTTCTTTTTTCTTTTTTTTCCTTTGTTTTAATATATTTTATTGATTTTGTACAGAGAGGAAGGGAGAGAGATAGAGAGTTAGAAACATCGATGAGAGAGAGTCATTGATCAGCTGCCTCTTGCACACCCCCTACCGGGGATATGCCCGCAACCAAGGTACATGCCCTTGACTGGAATCGAACCTGGGACCCTTCAGTCCCCAAGACGATGCTCTATCCATTGAGCCAAACCGGTCTCGGCTTTTCTTTTTTTAAAAATATATATTTTATTGATTTTTCCACAGAGAGGAAGGGAAAGGGATAGAGAGCTAGAAACATCGATGAGAGAGAAACGTTAACCAGCTGCCTCCTGCACACCCCCTACCGGAGTTGTGCCCGCAACCAAGGTACATGCCCTTGACCGGAATCAAACCTGGGACCTTTTAGTCCGCAGACTGATGCTCTATCCACTGAGCCAAACCGGTTTTGGCTCATCCTACATTTCTGCAGGCAGCAGTTACCTGGAGCTGAGTAGTGGCTGTCACTATCAGATAGGGCATGTATGTGTGCTTCACTTTGCCACACTCCCCACCACTCCCTAATGTGTTCCTCACAGGGATTCTAGCCCACTTCGCTTAGTTATCT